TCAAAATGCGTTTCAAGTTCTTCTCAGGGTTCATTCAGGCGCCTTTCGCAGGCTTGCAAATCTTTCAGAAGCAGGTCGTAATCGTACCTTTCCGTATTCTAGTGATATCCCGATTTTGGTTTGAAGTCCCTACAGCAAACTAATGGAAGAGCTTCCGGCTGCAGTCGGCCTCCTCTACATCTTCGTAAAAACAATCTAGTTCTGATTCGTTGGCTGCTGATGTTGGGCAAGCAGTTGATTGATGGTGATGGTCTTCTAACGTGGAGGTCGTAGACTCCAGTCAGAAGACCATCAGCAGACCGTAGACCTGGGTTGGCCATTCGAGATGATAGAGTCTCACAGTCGAGAACGGATTCGTAGAACTTTTTCACCATCAATAATGAGGGTCCCTTCACTCACCATTAGTTGTCGCAGCCTTTTTCCCTGGGATTGTTTCCTACAGAGCGGATGTGATATTGGACGTGCTTTCCAGGGTCCCTTCACTCACCATTAGTTGTCGCAGCCTTTTTCCCTGGGATTGTTTCCTACAGAGCGATGATGTGATATTGGACGTGCTTTCCAGCGTCAAAAGCTTAAAGGCAGTGTCCGGGCAAGATGGGGGTTATAGGATTTCAGTGCCATGCGAGAGTTGCCCCCCTCGGACACAACATCGCGCAAGTGCGACGTCATAATGCTCGACCTAAAGCAAGAAAAACGACCGGAAAGTGGGGAAACTTACGCCTTGGGGCACCTCCGAGCTGTCCGAATTCCTGCTATGCGGCAGAGTACGCATGCCGCCACAGAAAATGTAGGGTCCCGCGACGACTCTGTGTCTCTGCGTTGGCGGGGACCGTCAAATTTCAAATTGTGCGGCTTTGGAAAACGTATGTTCTCGCCGTTTTCGCGCCTTCTAAAGTGGATTTTCGGCTTCAGCGCTGCGGATGACCCCCGGTAAGTGGATTTTCTAGAAATTGAGTTTTTGTCCGGACACTGCCTTTAAAGGTTGGCGTTTGCGGAGACTACCCTGACGTTGTAAGGGGGGGGGGCAGCCAATATGAACGATAGCTTGTGCCAGCCATATGCGTTGCGTAGGTCAAATATTTCTAAAGTTCTATATTTATGCTGTGATGATATCTAGGAATGCGGAAAAAATGCTGGGAGCTCAGTATGCCCTAAATCTTACCGTTTGACACCATTTTCGATCCAGTAAGGAATATATCGCTTCAAAAAATAAAACTTTATGTGCGGCATATTGACAACCGCAGGAGTACAGTATGCTTATTGCCAGCTATCGTTCATCTTGGCATACACCCGTTATAAGTGCAGAGCATGAGGCAGTCTCCATGGCTTGTCGTCGCAGACTTAGCAACCAACAGTTGAAGTCATCTTTAAAGGCAGCGTCCAGGCAGATCTGGACCTATGGGGCTTTTACGTGGAAAGTACTTTTGGGGCCCTAACTGAGGCACTGCCCAAGCGGCAGCTCAGGTAGTGCTCTAATGGCTGAGATATTCCACTCGAAACTGGCCCCCGCGATCGTATTCGCATGGATTCATGGCAGTTTCGGCCGGGACCCACGCTTTGCGCCATATGTGCGAGATGCGATCACGGGGTCCAGTTTCGAGGGGAATATCTCGTTAGAGCACTACCTGAGCTGCCGGTTGGGCAGCGGCTTAGTTAGGGCCCCAAAATTACTATCCACGTGAGATCCGCATGTGTTCAGACTTGCCTGGACGCTGCCTTCAAGCGCTTACCACGTTCTCAGGGCTGGAAAATGATCAGACGAATGTTCGCGAAGCGCAGGGTCCACGCGAGGCGGCCGCGACCAGGTTTGTTGAAGTCGGGCTCACACCAAAATGGAGGGTGCACATGCAAATAAGGTAGAAATAAAGCTCGTCCTTTTGCATAACCAAGGAGGGGTGGTAGCAAAGCGAGGTGAATAAACCAGCACCCAATTTGTCCTGTGAAGCGCAAATTAAATGCCTGTTGGTTGAACAAATACACATCAAACGACGTGAAATTGAAGGGTGAGATTATCAACTTCGCTATGGGATATCTGACACGCTTGCAACTGAGGTTTCTTCAGGCGCTTTGTCACCACTGTAGAATACAGCCAGCGAGCACTCTCAGACAATCGATCGGACCCCTTCACCGGACAGTCGAAATCTGCCAGAATCGCGCCGGACCCAGTTGACCAATGAGAGCGGGGCGATTGGGCGGTCCGTTCTTGTAGGTCGCGGTGACATCACTGGCAGGCAAGTGGGACCCTTCTCCGGCCCTGCTGCAAAGGTACGCCATTTCTGCTCCGGAGGTACGCCAGATTTGGCAGAGCCGCGCCGGAGAAATTTGCCCGCCGCGTGTCCGCCAGATTTGGAAGAGCCGCGGAGCAGAAAATCGGAGGGGTACGGAGCACAAATGGGAGGTCTCCGGAGCAGAAAATGGGAGGCCTCCGGAGCGCAAATGGGAGGTCTCCGGAGCACAAAATGGGAGGTCTCCGGAGCACAAAATGGGAGGTCTCCGGAGCACAAAATGGGAGGTCTCCGGAGCACAAAATGGGAGGCCTCCGGAGAACAAATGGGAGGGCTCCGGAGCAGAAATGGGAGGTCTCCGGAGCAGAAATGGGAGGGCTCCGGAGCACGAGTGGCAGACACCCCGCTGAGGAAACCCCGCGCCCTGCCATTTCTCCGCCGGAGGGGTCCTATCCGCTGTCTGAGCTGGTATACATGCTTTTTACTCTCCTGCAAATTTGGCCTTAGCTTTCTGAGCAATACCCCGTCGTCAAGAAATAATAAGCTTCAGTCAAAAGGTTGAACTTCTTTGAAAAACTCTCTCCAATTATTGGTACCGTGATATAAAGATGCATAGATACTATGGGGTTATGTTTTCTAAACTTTAAGCCACTCCTTTATCTCGAGGAACTTCCAAGTATCCCTCTACCGTAAAGATGCTGCGACAATTTGTTAGAGGAGGATGCTCACCTAAAGTTTTTATCAGGAGTAAGAACTGTACTGGCCCATCATGAAACGCTACCGTGGACAGTAGCCGCGTCTCACCGCATATCTACGCTATTCAAGAGGATTACGGTAGGTTGGTGACGTAGAAGATTCTAATCGGTGAGATCAGTGCAAATCTGCTTTCTCTCAAGATCATTCACGTCAAAAGAAGATATAGCAAAAAGACGCATATTCGCCGAATTTCCCATTTCTTTTGTATTTCGTTATGGAAATTGGTGAAATTGGTCTCCTGCGCTCCCAGCGAAAGAAGCTCTGAAGATATGAGTTGGTAGTGAACTTGTTCTCCTCGCACATTCCCATCTCAAGAATAATATCCTGTCGAGCTCCAGGTAAAGCGGGTACCTGGATTCTAGCTGGTTCTAGCTCGAACAATGGAAAAAGTTTGATCACAGTCTCGTGCCATCGCACCAATGAGCGCAATATTTTTGTGGCAAACTAGCAGCTCGCAGTGTGTCCTTGTATGGCTTCAGATTCACTAAGGTCTGCAAAGCAGAGATAATCCACTGTAGAGTAAAAGAAACAGGGAGAGCGCTATATACCAACCCCTGAGGAGTCCAGAGCTTGTCCACCCCCATGGGGGTGTGGGCCGATCCCTGCAGCAGTGCAACGCTGGGCCGACCCGTGATGAGGTGCGAGCAAGCCCGCAACCTCATCCGGTTCCAAAAATCAAATAACCTTAACGAGACTCATTCGAGACTCTATCGAAGGTTAATTCGATAAGAACAGAAACTAAACTTTGATCTTAGCCAAAAGGCCGAGAAGCGATACCGAACTGAGTCGACACCATGCGACCTCATCCAGTGAGTCGGACTCATCGCAGGTCAGCTAGCGCTCACTATCTCACAGCGGAGAGCGCAGGTACAGGTGAACACACCTGTGCCAACAGGTAAAGCTGTTTTACCAGCAATAGTTGAGATCTGGAAGATCTACTGCTTTAGAGTTCATAAGATAATCTTGCCTTAGAGAGGTACTGCTGGCAAGAAGAATAGCTCAAACCGTTGCAAAGAGTGGTAGAAGTTCGTAATCAAAGATAGGAGGCCCCGATTCGGAGTCGTTGAAGCGCAGTTACTTCAGCATCCTGCTCAGGCCAGTATAACCTCTCTAAGGCAAGATTATAGTATAGTGGCAGTATAAGCCTACAAGTCTGACAAGAGTGCTAAAGCCTAACTGGTCTCATTTTTTTCTACTCTTTTCAAAGGCTCTTGGGACGTGCTTTACTTTAGAGAATAGTCTTCCTAATAGTTCTCACCAATGCGATTTTACAGCATTGGTGAGAACTATTAGGAACCCTGGAAACTGTGAAAGTGCAAAACTTCCGGATTTGAATTAATGCCGGTAAAACAGCGTTTACCTGGCACAGGTGTGTTCAACTGTACCTGCGCTCTCTGCTGTGAGATAGTGAGCGCTAGCTGACCTGCGATGAGTCCGACTCACTGGTTGAGGTGGCACCGCTGCCAGGTGGGTCAAGTATCGCTTCTCGGCCTTTTGGCTAAGATCAAAGTTTAGTTTCTGTTCTTATCGAATTAACCTTCGATAGAGTCTCGAATGAGTCTCGTTAAGGTTATTTGATTTTTGGAACCGGATGAGGTTGCGGGCTTGCTCGCACCTCATCACGGGTCGGCCCAGCGTTGCACCGCCGCAGGGAGCGGCCCACACCCAAACGGGGGTGAATAAAGTCTAGAAAAAAGAGCAAAATGATGCTTAACGATCCATTTTAGAATGTTATTTTCCCTTAACGGACTTCCTCATTCCCAGGTGTCATCTAGTGCTGTACGCTAGGTGCGTAAGTTTCGCCACTACTGTTACAAACTCGCAGTTCTTCCGTTATGATGGCCGTACACCAGAAAAACCAAAAAAAAACGCAAACAACTGATCAAAATTATCCGTTCTTAGTTAAGACTGATCTCTTGCTGAAAACCAACATCATAGAAAACTTCTAATAAAAAAAATTCCAGGGAAGTTCTCACAGCATTCATTTGAAAGGAAATTGATTTGATAAACTCGCTTAAGAATCCTCTTCATCAATTGTCTGTGGAGCGAATTTGTCCGAGAGTAAGTTACTTCAACTATTAACTTATGCTAATAGGATGGAATTGCGTAATTCGATATGGTATTACGAGGGCCTATTATTTTCAACTAGTGCTGCTCATCGCCAGGATTTTTATGCGTACTTTATTTGCTCATAAGCTTTGGAATCAAGTGACGAGAAACTAGAATTCGTATCAACATCGAAATCGAAATATAGTAATATGATACACAAATGTGGAGCTGAAGAAATTGAAGTGTATTAAAGTGTGTTATTTGGCATAAGACACCAATACTCTAAAGGCAGAATGCTCATAAACGAAGAGGTATAGTGTAGAAAGAAATTATGCTTTTTCAGCTGACTGGTTCTCAACGGATGAGGTGGCTTCAGTAGATCTACTCAGATCCATCGTAGCCATGAGAGGAAAGAAAGACGTCCAAGGGTGGCTTGTAAGAAAGGGCTTCTGCAAAATAGTCACTAGGACAGGCCTTTATTATTTGAAGAAAAAGAAACCAAAAAGCATGAAATATAGAACTAACAAAAACATTTCCTTTTTCTCTTCACAAAAGCTCGTGACACTACTTACTTGCAATAAATATTCCATAGAAAATGGTGATCTTTGGTTAGAGCTAGTGGAAAAGCGTGAAAATGACTCCGATTGCGCAGCACAATTCTGAAAAGTATACTTCAGGACAGATGAATGCTCAGATGTGTCGGTTGAGTTCATATTTTGAAAAATCAATGATTAAACGACGTATTTTTGAGGGTTCAAAATCATTTTCAGTCTATTGCTTGTTAGAATACATAACACATGGTTATGAAAGATGTACTTCATGCAAAAAAAGAGAGAGCGAACTTGATATCATGCGCAGCGAATACGACAATGTAATTTTTAAAAGCTGTGGGTGGCTCTAGCGCTAACCACTCAGCTACCGTAACCTGACAACGGCGCTGATTTCTGAGATGTTTTGATAAGTTGTTTTATGGTTAGATCAAGATGTCATAATCACAAATTTCAATCTTCGTTTTGGCAAGCTCAGCCCATATTTTGGGAATGGTGCTATAGACCACCAGAGAAACAAGAGAAAACAATCCTGAGTGTGGCAATATCTTATTTGATGAAAATTTACTATACTTGCCTGAAACTCTGTACATTTTTTCATTTTCCGAAGGCATGCAAAATGTTGTATAGCTTGGAGCACATCTCCATTGCAACCTAAACGTACATGAATGTCTAAAATTACAGTATAAGCAACTAGCTCACCTTCTAAGACTAGTTCTAAGACCCTTTTCTCTTGATCCTCGAAGAGCAGTGTGAGCAGCTCTATAGCTGGCATCCGAGTGCACTGTGGTTCTTCGGTGTGACTTTTCTTTGACGGAGAAGGGTCACTCACCGGTGAGCAGATAGAATCTGCAAAGTCACCACAAATCTCTATGTAAATTCATTTTGTAAAAGCAAACAATGAAAATTCACAGGGAACGATCAGCGAATTTTTTAAGGTAGAAAATTGGCAAAATAAGCTACTTAGGCACACACTCACTACGATCATCGTATTGATCTTCGTCTGTACTAGAGCTCCATACCGGCCCCTGCGGCAGTCGTTCCATAACTTGGCCTGCTACCACCCTGAAGAAGTTAATAATTTACAACCAAGCAAATTGTTTTGAATAACACCCCTTCATCCCTAAAGCGACATTACGCTCAGAAAATATTGAGGAAGGGGAGGGCTTTTGTGTTATGAAAACGATTAGAACATATTAGAATCAAAACATACCACCCACTCAGATTGATCAGGATTACGGTGACTGGAATATGCCAGTATCTACTTGATGAAGAATTGAAGCTGATATCAAAAATGCTCCAGCTGTATTTGATGAAGAATTAAAGCTGATATCAAAAATGCTCCATTTTGTATCTGCTACGTAAAAATCTCAAATATTAGGTTGGCACATAAGTAATGCAACTTTTTATATAACTTTTGACTGTTTGAACGTGGCGCATTCATTTTTTGGCAATATAAGGAATATGATGTAAGCTTCTAATGCACACATTTTTGCCGAATTTTAACACCTTATGTGAGGATTACGGTAGGTTTACGGTACTATGGGAAAAATTTTAGAATGCATCAGATTTAGCTGAAACTTGGCCTATAGGGCTTATTTGACATGCTGATCACAAAAATGAGATCCATTTCGCATGAAAAGGCCTCGTTCGTGAGATCAAAGGATGAATTTCATTTTAGCGACAGACGAATATGATATTCGTGTTTATCGCATAGGATTACCCTACAGTGCAAAGTTATAGCAAATTCGGACTTTTCGCAGCTTAGTTATTGACAAATTGCCTTCAAAACTTGACGCTTTTGACTTGTTCAACTTCTCAAAGACGCCCCACCTTAATTTGTGTTCAAATTTCATTTCTTTTCCACTGATTCCAATGTGCCAACTTCCAGCTACATGCTGCCTGTAATTGCTTTTTCATATGTTTGAATCAGGTTTCGTAGGGCTTCATGTTTGCCAAAAAATCGTGAAACTTCGATTTTCAGCAGTTTTCAAAAAATGCTTAGATTTTTTGTACTACGTTATCAAAAATCAAACGGTTTGCGCAGACTTACAGCTTACATCACTATCTACACGATGCCACAAAATGAGATTGCTATATAAAATAGGAAAAAAGTTACGGGAACAGTTGCAAAACTTATGTGCCAACCTAATATTTGCTATTGACTGATAAATGAATCAATTTCTGCTCCAAAATCCTGATTTGGTTATTACTCATTGAAATGGATTTGTAGTAAATTTGAAGTCAAAAAGGCTACTTCAGTTTTTTTCAGTTCCGAAAACGTTTTAATGTTTTACGCAAGGCTTCATTCAAGTCGTTACATTATTTTACAGCTAAGAGACGCAGATAGCTTCAAGTTGCAAAATTTGCCCTTCATATTTACAAAAAATGCAAATTTCCGATTTACCGTAACCCAAGGGCAATCGCATCTTCTGTTGCTTGTTTTCTCTTTAGAGCTACTTGTGCAGCCATTACCCGTTGTCGTTCGGCAATCAAATTGCATTTCTCACAGGAACATTCCCTAAAATAAGAATTTTTACATTTATCAAATTTCGGAATGTATAAAGTTAAGTAGGTTACAGTATCCATTTTTTTGCGCGAACGATTCTAGAGCAAAGACCTTGCGCAATCTTTCAATAGAGAGTCGTGTTGCAATCGCACAAAGTAAGCAAAAGCTTATGTAAATAAAAAGGGAATGAAGCGGAGAAACGGTAATTTTTAGAAATTTTCATAAGCAAACACTTAATTCATAATAAATCAGTTCTCTTACATTATATAGAGTCAACTGCTAAAAAGTGCATGTACTCTAGCAAGGCGTCGTAACTCTACCGTATTTGCTCAGAAGATCTCGAGTTTCTAACATAAAATTTCATTGATCTTATCTTCACTATTTATGAGTCTAGAAATGCGTAGCAACATCTTTACATGGTGTAAAAAATACTGCTCACAGAATATGCAAAATTTACCAAAGGTCGCGACAACCCGCTGAATTTGCATGTTCTCGCCACAGTCCGTGAATGTCCGAAATCACGCAGATAACGCAAATTACGCAGCGCCATAACTTCCTTCAGAATGCATGAATTCTGCATTAAGGAGAAGCATTGTGTTCAGCTGATCAGGGCGAATTATATTGCGATGACATACTTATCATATGCACACAATAGAATGAATTCAGATGTCTTTTCCATTCCTTAAAAATGACATTCTTTAATGCTTTCTGAAATATTCTGGGCTATATAGTTTATTATGAATGGGTTTCAAGACTTTTCTACACTTGTTCTCAGTAAGGGAATTCTAGGTTTCAATAAAGACACCTTTGTTTTCAATACGTCCACTTTCCCATGTGACCCCACTCGATCTCATCATTGTCCATCGGTATTAGGAGACAGTCGTGTGTTAGAAGTGCGAACGCTGTCGCCTCGATTTATTTACCGGTCCCACCACGGGCTTAACGCTGCTTACCACTTGAGTGTCCATCAATTGGGATCGTAGCCTGATTCTGTTTGCATTCGAGCGATTACCGTAACTCAAACTGAGCACACGCAACTCGCTAAAGCCACATGGATACTGTGCAAACAAGAGATCGTGCAAATTGACACCTTGCACAAGCAGTTTTCCATACCGAGTCGTGGAGAGGTTTTTAGCACGGGAGACGAGGAAAAAGTTCAATGTCTGAGGTCTAATCTGTCACGAAAAGGAGTGAGGTCGAGAAGTGTTTGAGAGGAATCAAAGTTGGCAACAATTCGTACAAAGTACACAAAGTACGGTGATACTGTAGCGATACCAAGCTTCAAATTTTGATTTTGCCATCTAAACTGCTCTACAAACATTGTAAAAGCTATTCACTATAGTCTAAAAATCCCACCTCAAAATTTACAACTCTAAAATTCAATGATTTTTCTAAAATGGCTGCTGATCTGCAACGACGACATCGTGGTAGAAATTCCTACCGTAGCCCTACAGTAATGAAGAACAATGAAGATGGGTAGTTCGCTCTCCCATTTTGAAATAACTTAGAGTTCTGCCAGAAAGTTTTCATAAGCCATTGATTTAGCACAATTCAAGTAGATTCCCAAAATGATCGCAAACTTTTCACCAGACACATGATCTAAACAACACTAGAGCCGAAAAAAAAGAGAGGAAAGTATATAGAGAAGAGGGAGGAAAGGGAAGGAACGAGACTTGTAGAAAGAAATTCGAAGATGGAAAAGAACAAAATTGCATTTTTGCGAAGAATACTAGATTGCCGAACCGGGCCGAATTTTCAGAACCAGAAAGCAAGGCCAAATTTGATTGTGATATATTACAATCTTATAATACTTCTCTAAATTAAAGACTTATGCCTAAAACTATGTCGATTATGGTGAATATTCAATAATCTGGAAAAAGTCCTGGTATGATTTGCGCTTTGGTATATGCACACCGTAAAAGCCAAACAAAAGCTGAACGCTGAATGTTAAATCATTTGAATCCAAGGAATTAAATTTAAATTCTTATCGCAGCGGTACACGGTAAGTAAAGTCGCTTCATTTCATATGATCATGTGTGTCATTGCACACACAGTTCACCTTTGGCGTCCCCATCCTGGATTCGTGGGAGAAACAAGCCTTCGGGTAAGTGTTTCCAAGGTGTTCTTAGCATTTTCTTTCTTTTTTAGTCGCTAGTCACCTCAAATTGATGTAGTCGATAACAATCAGTAAGTCTCTTGCGTTTTTGTGATTGCAAATCCAGGATGAGGACGTCAAAGTGGACTGTGTGTGCAATGGCACACATGATCATATGAAATGAAGCGACTGTAAATCTGAGGTACGGGAAAGTTCATTATCTGCTCCGGACTTACGAAGAATTGGAAGAACTGCTTACTTGTACTTGCAATGACGTTTATGTCCTTTCAACCATGAGACTATGCCATGGTTTCGACATCTGGCACATTTTGGCTTTCTTTCACGTTCTATTCGTCCATTAGTGAAAGTGATCGGAAATCCGCCAAGCATCATCGTCCGAGCTAAAAAATATGTTCTGCGGGCACGATAACGAGTACAATAATTTTCCATAAAGAAGAAAAGAGTATCCCAAGCCTGCTAATAAATTACCAAACAACTCCACTTTTACCAAAGATAAGCTTCATATAGTTAACAACTGTGACTAACGGATAGGCAAGAGGGTGAGAATGATAGCCAAGACTACCCAGCACTTTCCTCCCCTCTCCCGCCCCCAACCGCTTAAACAATCGCAGGATAACGAAAGATAACATAAGACAATGAAACGGCTACAGTGTTGAGTGACTACGAGCCGCAGCCGTCTGCCTCGTCAACCAATCACAAGTGAGCATGGGCGTGGCCACTTGGCCGCATGTGTGTGTGTCTAAAAGCGCAGCAGCACCGGAAATTGCGACAGCTTGTAGAATTAAACAATGCGATAGCTGAGCGGATGTGAGGGGGTAAACTGAGACCATGTGGCTCGGCGAACGATATTTGAGAGTGAAGCCCGGCTACTTTGTTATACACAATCTTGATGGAGTATGTAGTCGAGAGAGAAGGGGGGGGGGGCAGCGCTAGTGTTTACAGTGCAGTTTCGCAGTGGTAACATTACGTATTTCTCAGGATTTCGAGTGAAAAACACAGCTCTAATTGTAAATAATGGTCGCCCTTTGATCACAGTCACCTATTTATTCTAATACTGATATACTTTGTGAAACTAGTTGTAAGAAAATTATTTGTGCGCTCCTCGAAAAAATTATTTTTGGAAATACTGTAGTCGTGCAGTGATCTTACCACCACGGCCTGCCTGACTGCAGATCTCCGAAGTGGTGCAATTGCACAAAGTGAATACTAAAATAAGTCACTGTATCTAGAAATGTTCACGCTGCCGAGATCAGTTTCTTCTTGCTGTTGCTGTGGCCAAACCAAACTATTTAGGATCAATTTTAACGTAGAGAAAGAAGTAAGAGTAAAATTTCCATCAGCAATCATCCGTTTCATGTTGTTGAAATGCTCACCCAAACGTTACGCATATCCATGATTCGATCGAATTCACTAACAAGGGAAGGATACTTCTTCAAAGTGGACTTTCTATATAAAAAATTCACTATCTCATAGAACATGGAAAGCTGACTCCGAATTTGCTTTCCGTATCTGCAATGCACTTCTGGGAGGGGAACTATGGAAATTATATCAAGCAAAAATTTGAACGCGCGGCTACGATAGATCATTCAGAAGTGTAGTCTAGGAGCTCAAATGGGGTCATGATTACGGCCAAGGCGCTCTATGCAATTAATACCTCCACTTCTTTCAAGCTCCAAAAGGCTTCAATACCTGCTTTTACCTTAATCAAATACTTGAATTCTCGCCTGAAAAAAATCCCATAACTTTCCTTCCAGAAGCGCATTGCAGATAATGAAAACAGATTTGGTATCAGCTTCCACGCTCCAAGAGACAGTAAACATTTCTTGCGGAAACGCCACTTCGACCAATTATCCTTCCCTTGTAAGAACCAGATACCCACTTTAGAGCTCAAAGGCGCCTTTTCCCAGGGCCTCGCTAAACTCCACCTCTCCATATCTTGCAGGTACAGCATATGTTGTATCTGCAAGATTCAATCATTTTCTGTCCATTTTATAATCTTTTTTTGACTAGTGATGTGGAAATTTTATAGTATCTTTCTATCGATATGTGGACCTCAGAATTTACAAAGTGAGAAATTCATGTCTTTTGGAGCTCCTCTAATAATTTTGCAGATGAGATCACAGTTCTGAAGAAATCGTAGTCCACACTTTCTCTTCTTCAAACGGGCACATTAAAACATGTTGGCTTTATTTAACAACTTTCATAGTCAAAGTGTGCTTTCGATGGGGAAATTTTTAGAGTCATTCAGTTAGGATGAATTTGCTTTAGTTGATACCTAGTAATTCTCGTATGATGCCAACTCATGATTGTTCTCATTGTTTCACTGACAAGAAAACGGGATAGAGAAGAAAGCCCATCCTATCTCTCTGGTTATTAAATATTTTGGTGTTGCTGTAACCGGAATCAAGATTGTTAAACCGTTCATTCGGCTAACGCTTCGGCCTAGTCGCCTTCATCAAAGCCTTACCGATAAGATTTGTTAAAGACCACCGCTGGCTGGTATGCGCTTTGGTTTTCTCCTTTGTTATCTGCAAGAAAGTAATTTTGATTTTGAGAAATTGCTATAGAACTAATATTACGCTGATTTCAGCAGTTCTATTAACTTTTTTACTCATAACCAGCACCACAGGCTAGACATCCTTTCAAAATATTTGAGAGTTGCTAGAATTTCGCAGAATGAATGTATGGTAGCTTCTTACTCATGAAAAGAATACTGCTTGGAATAATATTCTGTTTTGTAGCACCACCTATAAAACAAACAGACGTGCCGCATGTGCTCAAAATTAATTCAAGCTACACAAATAGAGGCAGATCGCGAGACCCTTTTACTTCCAAAACTACTTCCCTTTGATAAAGATTACCGCAAAAAATATTTTATTATTAATTTCAATGAAACATATTTAATACGCAGAAACGTTTCAAAGCTAACGAGTTGTCCCATCTTCGAAGAATATTCCACCATCTTCAGCGCAGTACTTCGGACAGATACCGCGTTCTCCAGGTCGACCAGGCTTTCCGGGTTTTCCTGCCGGTCCCGGCATACCGTCATCACCGGGCTTTCCAGGTTCACCATTTGGACCGGGCATTCCCGGTATTCCAGGTGATCCATCATGTCCGGGATCTCCAGCGGGTCCACGCAATCCCTCCAAACCAGGATCTCCTTGTTCGCCTGGTAAACCGGGTTTAGGTTTTTCCACCACTCCAGGTGTGCCCGGTTCACCTGGTGGCCCGTTTTTGCCCAGCATTCCCGGAGGTCCAGGCTTACCCGGTAGTCCAGGTTCACCCGGTGGTCCACTGATTCCTTTGGTTCCGACATCACCTGGAAAACCGGCGTTGCCCGGCGGTCCTTGCGGACCATCAGGTCCCGGGCGACCTCGTGGACATGGTGGACAAGGCGGAGGCGACACAGGTTCACAAGGTGCTTGAGATGGTTTTCCGGGACGGCCGGGTAAGCCTGCTGCACCAGGCATGCCCGGTCTACCGGGCATTCCAGCTGGTCCTGGTGGTCCCGCCGGACCAGGCATGCAACAGCTGTCGCAAGTCATTTCCACCAAAGGCACTATAATCGGCTTATCCGTTGGTGCGTCCGTGACCGGTAGATCCTTCACAAAGCTTTCTGTTGTCGTCGCTTCCGTCGTTGTTTCCGTCACCGCAACCGTCACCGCCTCCGTCGTCGTCGTCCCTTGTGTCGTCGTTGTCCCCTCTGTCGTCGTCGTCCCCTCTGTCGTCGTTGTCCCCTCCGTGGTCGTTGTCCCCTCCGTGGTCGTTGTCCCCTCCGTGGTCGTTGTCCTCTCTGTCGTCGTTGTCGCTTCCGTTACCGTCTCCGGCATCTAAACTTATCGTGCATTACGGCTTCTAAAAGACTATCTACAGGCGATTCATAGCACGCAGACACGGGTCGAAAATGCGGACGCTGTCGGCGTGTATCAGACCAAAATGCTGTCTCATCCCTCTAACGATCTACTGTCTCTCTCAAACACGTACTGTCTTGACCGAACGCAACTGAACCGGACCTTTGCGTGCGATGAATTGCCTACAATGTTCTTTTCATAGGGTAGCCATTTTACATGATCGTATGTGTGACTGCACACATAGCCCACCTTTGTCGACTTCATGCCGAGTTTTTGGAGCAGACACCCCAGAATATTATCGGTGTTTTCTTCTTGTTTACTTCCCTATAAGGTAGAATCTACTCAGAATGATTTAAGCGATCAGGATCAGTTGGTCTTTTGCGTTTTTGCGATAAGATAAAGGCTGATCCGTGACGAAGGCTGTCGGCCCATTTTGCGGCGCCGATGCGAGCGCCGCGTTTGAGCACCGCTTATCATTGGGTTGCCTTCGCACGCCTTGCTTATATGAGCAAGAGCCTTTGTCTGGGACCAAACTTTATCCAGGATGGGGACGGCTAATGCGCAGTGTGTGCAATGACACATATGCTGATATAAAGTAATTTGGCTATACCTCAAAGTCGTATCCACTAGGATCCAAATCTCGAGCTATACGCGATCCGTTGAATCTTCTTAACTCATTGCGAAAAGCATTCACATTTGCCCACAGTGTTTTCGAGTTTACCTGAAAAATTGGTTTAGTCGAGCTCGTTCTTACTGATAAATGAGGTGAGCTCACTTGGCACTGATGCATCTCACTTTGCATTTGTCGACGAACTTTATGCACATAATGGTAAAGAACGGGCAGAGTGATGCATACGGATAGGATTGCGCAAGTGGAGAAGACTAATGCCGCGTAGCCCACGATACGGTAGACCTATAGTTGAAAGGGTAAGAAGTTCTTCTGGAAACAAATACATATAGGCTGCTGCATGACGAAGGCGCAATATCTCTGGGCACAAACGGCGGTTTCATTACCCGCAGAGCGCATGAGGCGCAGGGTTTACAACGGTGAAGATAAGCGCACGCAGCGTTCACGCCAGCTCAACTAATGCTGCTTCTGCGCCTCCGTCATGCATCAGCCTTTACATCCTAATGAATTTGGGTGACAAATATGATGAGCTTTCAATTTAGAGCAGTTAAATCAATTACGACCATGTTTTGACGCCTAACAACGCACCGCTGATACGCTCGCACATTCCCGCTCCAGCGCAAATTTGGGAGTCGGCAATAGCATCTGATTGTTGACAGCATTTGCGCGCATAACTGTGCTCTGTAGCCATTTTTGCGCGCGGGGTTAAGCCTGGCGATAAAAGTACAGTCTTTTTCAACCCGGAGAAGGCGAAACATTCCAAGTAGAGCAGCGCTCCGCACCGCCATTGGCTGAGCAAAATAGATTAGAATGAAGAGACGCAGACTGCAAAACGGCGCGAGTCGTTGCGAAGCGGACTCCTGCCAGTCCAATTTCCGCCTAAACCGACTTGGAACTTAACTATACCTATCGTTGATTCGTTGGCCACACGGACTGCTCAAACGCTGCGAAGCGCACGCGGCGCGGTCAAAATGCTGCGAGAGCACGATTTGTACAATTGCTAATTTGTACTGGGGCAAACGTTTTACCTCACGGCAAGTGCTCCGCAGTGATGTCCAGTCCAACGAATCGACTATAGCAATTGTTCCCGCGCATATTCTTTCGTCAAAGATCAGGATTATACTCAAGGACCTTCGCGAGCGTGTGCACATCTGCCAACTGCATGAGTCATCAAGCGCCAAACCTAAACGTAGCGCACAGGCCACTAAATAAGCCGCGCGCCAATACGCTCGCGGACGTTCAGCCTACAGCGATATGGGCGATTTTCTGCAGTTGACCATATCCGCACAATTCTGGGAGTCCCACCCCCATAAAAAATGCTTACGGTTCTGTAGTAATCTAAAGGCATATTGAGATTGCAATTCTATGGAACTGCTTTAGGTGGAGCACTGTAGCTTGTGTTTGGAATCAATATAAAAAAACCTGGAATGAGGAAAACAAATGCGGAAAAGGACTCCAGCAGTTTGCTTTGCCTGCAAAGATAAATGCTTACCTTGATCTTGATGTCGCTGTCCATATTTCCATTGAAGCTATGAATCAAATTCTTTTATACTCTGAATCTAGCAAACTGAACTGCTTTCACCGCTTAAAACTCGTTCTTCACTTCCTATTTTTGAATGGTCTTGACCACAAACGGATGCGCTATAGAACTGGATCTGAACAGTTTGAAAAAACCATGCAATAGCGCAGCTAAACCACTCCCTTCGATGAATAGCAGTGATCTCTTGATGATGTTAACGTTTTCTCAAGAACTATAATTTTTGAACTGGTGTAGCATGCATCAAAGTGAAAAACACTTCAGTCCAAAAATTTCATTTGTATGACGCTCAATGAGGAAAACCTGGACAAAAGTGATGATATCTATCAAAAGAGGCTCAGGAATAGAGAATGTTTCTTTGATACAATTTCCCACAATCTGCCGTTTTGCTATCAGCTCTAATTCAGATTCACAAACAACACAGAGTACAGACAAGTTCAAATTACTACGCTTGTACAATATAAACTCACTTAAAAAGTACAGAAACGGTGAAAAAAACAGTGAGTGAACGAAACACGGTACTAAACCTGCTAGTACAAACCAACGATAACGAACACAAATTCTAGAGAATATTGGTATGAGTAAGTGAATGAAAAGAACTATGCTGAAAACGACAAAATTGACTAAAATTCGTCGCTAAGAAGCGGCGGTGAGACTCGAATAGGTTCTTGTTGTTTCAGAATTTCCTCGATTGATACATCTAAACGCTGCGCCCAGCGACAGCACACATCATATATCAAAAGCAAGCAATACGCGTCCATTGCAGCGTATCTTAACTAAAAAAAACGCTTGACAATCGACTTTTAGAAATACAATAAGAAAACAAGCCGGTAAAAACCACCTCACCTGTGATGACCTTAGTGGTCGACGATCCCATACGGAACACTGTTCTGTCTTATCTAGCGGACGACCAAGAACTCTTTCACACATGTAGGATAGGCCCCGGTTGACAGTTCGTTGTACTACCGATTCATTTTGTTGCGCTTTCACTACTGCTACATATACTTCAGCGGCTGGAATGTCTAGAAATCAAATCTGGTGACTAAAAAGTAATTTTGGGATTAAAGCCAGTCTTTTTCCAATAAGAGAGGCGTCTAGTCACGTTTGTTGTCAGTAGGTTTAAAACTTTACGAAGAAAGATCCCTAGGCAAGCTAAAGAACAGCTCAGAAAGAAACTAGGTTAGGCAAAAAATTGCAACAAAAAAATAAAGATACCAAGTTGGACAACATAATGACGGTTGAAACGATAAACTGGACTAACTCTCTGCAGCATGATCATCGACAATTTCCGAATGCTCCAAATCTCGTGCGGAGACATCAGGTGGAAGTACTTCTTTCAAAATCGCCTCACAATCGTCCAGTTTCTCCGTACGCTCCAGCAGCTGCAAGCATAACCATTCATCAAGATGATTTTACAGAAACACCCATACTTCATGCATAGGTTCTTCAGTCACGATACATTAATGCAAAATCTTCTGCTGATAAACCAATCTATCTACCGGTAGAAGGGGAAATAACGTGGTCTAGTACAGACAAGTACAGATCGATAGGGCAGATGTCTCTGTGGATTCACTGTGAATTTGTACATGAAAACAACAACTAGGATTTGCTGAGAGTTAGCGACTGATGCTACCGCGGTATAACTCAGTCGTAAGCTATGACCAAAAAAAGTTTAGCAAGCACTGGCCATACGGAAAAAGACTTTGATGATTGCGAAATGTCGAAGAAAATACAAGAAGAAACCGTTTGTTATCATTTTGACAGTTCATTCCAAAATCGCTTACCTCTGCGACCATTCTTCCAACACATATAACATTTTCAGGCTCAAACAATGCTCGACAATGAGGCACAGCTGCACGCATTTGCACGAGATCTTCATTGAACTGGAAACCTAAAATTGAAAGTTTGCGAAACTGACGAGAAAAGCATACTACCACAGAAGGCATCGTCCTCGTCATTGTAATTACCTAGTTTGAGAATTCCCTTGTCAAGAAACAACAATTCGAAAAATTCTCGCAAAGCACTGGCTGGCAGTTCTGCCCGATTTTCCAGATCAATGATGAAAATGCGATCACGAAGTGACAACTGCAAGATCGTGGCCCTTAACTTGTTGATGTTGGGCATAAAGATGTTGTTCGGACAGGATAAGATTACCTGCTATTTGCAACATACGCGCTCCACTCTGCATCCAATCCCACAATAAGCTGACTGTCAGGATTTTTATTCTTGAGTTTTTTCAGTTCAAGGGAGAGCAAGTGAAGATCAGCAGCCGTGTATATAAAAATGATATCCTAGAAGATAAAAGCACGATCTCCAACATAGTAGACCAAATCTCGATTAAGAATGAAGACAAGTGACACTCACTTTTACATCAGAGAGGAAGTTCAAGTAATCTGGAGTGGGTGAGAGTGGGTCATATATCGCCTCATTTCTGAGCTGACAAATGTTGGCACTGGAACAATCTAAACGACGTTCCTACCTGTTTCGTATGCTAGTTCGATGCATAAGTGCAGGTTGCATACGGCGCCAATACCTAGCAGCACCGTAGTCGTGGAAATCTTTCTCGAGCAAATCACAAATGAACCTAGAAAACAGAGCTTTTGAGAGGAGGTATGCTGACCATAAATGAGGGAAGAAGCTACTTTTTCAAATTCGGACGCTGACACATTATTGTCCATATCAATTCATAGAGATTCTCTTCTTTCCATGTCTAAATATGCATGAGTGACTAGAGCAAACCATAAAAGAGCGAAAATGGCTGCTAACCTTATCAATATATGTTTTTCTTGCAAACTTCTTCAACGCAGCACAAGCCCATCCCATTGGGATACTGGCATCATTTCTAACCTCTAAAGTGACACAAATTAACATCATGTGAAAATCTTACATCCCACACACAAACCTACACGATTCATATGGGAAGCCCGTTTTTTCAACGGCATAAATCTATATTATCAGCTTGCTAGGGCCAATTCCGTTGTCGTAGGACTAGGACATGCTCCTGACCCCACCGATCGAAAAATGCCCTTTTTTGGTCCCTCGTCATGTTCAAAGATGCTTACGCAATGCGCTCAAACTGTTCAGTTCTAAATATTCTTTTGCCTTTCATTATAACGTTCTAGAGATCTTAATCCAGAATGTGTTTACAGATGGGAAGTCTTATACAGTAGACAATCTTAATGTTACCTAACGGCTTTCAAGCTTCAAAAGTTGTGCTTTTCTTGAAAAAAGTATAAGTGACCGCTCCTGCTCACCGGAGTTGAGCAGTCGTTTCCAAATCTTATATATAAAGCTGAGTGTCTGTTTGTCTGTATGTATGTATGTCTGTCTGTCTGTCTGTGTGTACGTATGTTCCGAATAGAAAATTCCATTTCTGAACCGATCCGGACCAAACTTGGCACACATACACTTCGGGCCCCGGCGGGTGTCATAGGCTACTTCTCGTATCGATCGATATCGATTTTATCGATTTTTTGCAAAATTTGAGCTACGGGGTTAGGAGTTGGCACAGGGGGGTAAGTGAGCATGGGGATTCCGAATACAATATTAGTTTTTAAAATCGTGCATTACTTTTATCAATTTTATCGATTTTTTTGCAAAATTTGAGCTAGGGGGCTGGATGATCAGCATGCTCGATTACCCCCCTGTGCCAAATCCCAGCCCCCTAGCTCAAATTTTGCAAAAAATCGATAAAATCGACATCAATCGATAACGAAAAGTGGACTGTGACACCCGTCGGGGCCCGAAGGGTATGTGTGTCAAGTTTGGTCCGGATCGGTTAAGAAATGGAATTTTCTATTCGAAACATACGGCGGAGCCGGGTAAGCCAGCTAGTAGTAGATAATCATTTTTTAGGTTCCCTTTTGAGCAAATCGGCTATGCGCATTCAAAACTGATCAATGAATGGTTGCGTTTCAGAGTGAGCGCTTGACTTTCGACCTTTTTTGCGACTTCTATTCCGGATTTTGATATAAAGATCAACTAATGATGTGAATAGTCATCAAATGCGTTCACCAAAATTCGTTTCAGAAACATTCACTTCATGTTGTAGAAGCACATAGTTTGAGCTTAAGGGAATCACTTGCATGGGACGAGAAATCAGACGCATAGCATACTTTGTGATCGCTCGGAGGCTAGGAGGATGCTTAAGCGCCGTATGGCAGCAGACCAAGCGAGACTCTAGCGAGGCGGATGCATAGATCCGCGCCGTGCAGAGAAGGGGTTTAAATTGGCAAAGAATGTAAATATATTCCGTGATCAAATTTTGGCTACTAACAAGGGAAGTCACTTAACTTAGGTCGGGCTTTTGAAATGAGACACATATATTTAGAATCAGCTCGGAACGCTGATTCCAAATATGCTATCCCTAGCTGCGAAGCGTTTCCCTGAAGCGAATTATGAGCTTTTTTATTATGTGTCATTGACATACAACTGAATATGGAAAGAAGGTCTTTGGATGAAAATCTGCCCAAAAAGTGATGGAAAATCAAAATAACATCAAATTGAGTCATTTGGCTTTGATAGGGTATAATATGCATTTGATCCACTACCTAGATGATGATACCGTAGCATGCCTAAGTCGGTCAACACGCAAAATTTGCTCAGGAAAAAGCTCATAACTCGCTTCAGAGGAACGCTTCGCAGCTAAGGAAAGCAGATTTGAAATCAGCGTTTCAAGCTGATTCCAACCATATGTGTCTCATTTCGAAAGCCCGACCTAAGTTAAGTGACTTCCCTTGTAAGTGAAGTAAAAATAATTGTGTTGTGGGAGCCAATAAACTCGAAAAATGTTTGCCATTGGCCAGGTCTAGCTGCAAACAAAACGGAATAGCAACAAATGAAAACATGACGTTTCGGTGCGTTTTGTGACTCAATATAGGGAGAAAACATAGACACTCAAACACAACTTTCACAAATCAAGAAAAAAAGAATAAGATAAATGCATAAGCTAAGGTCAATAGCAAAGAACGCTGACAGACTGACCTCCTCTAAGATCACGCATCAACGATTGCGCATTTCGTCGAAAATCTAGAAAACTGGAAAGTTCAGGATTGCTATCGCTTATACGTGATGGTTTCCTTGAACTGAAATTACTTCTATTCACTTGGAGAAAGAAAAAAAAATTGATTGAAGAAGCAGACCTGAAGGCCTCCGGAGATTTTGCTGCCTCTTCCGCATTTGCCAACACTGCACGACATTGCTTACGAAAATCTGCACTTCTCCCAGAAGCAAAAGCCTGAAAGTTTTGGTAGCATTAACCACTGGTACATCTCAGACGGTGGAACTACAAGACGCGAAAACGCTATAAAGATTTGTAAATAAACCTCAACTGTCGGCGCACCTAGCGGACCCAAGTATAGGGCATAAAGAATTGCTTCTGGTTCACCGATGAATTCACACAACAGATCGTCTCTCATTACAAAGGTTAAGGCGGAAAAACTAGAAACCAAAGTTGACTAAACAAAAATGAAAACTAAGTGCCCACCAACTCACCTGATGGTTCCATTTGTGTACGCTTGCGAGATTTCTGGCCCCAACAATCGAAGCTTTTCCTTATTATTAGAAGGGACGAGTATATAACGAATTTGCCGCCATACTTTTGTCTGGAATCTAGGATGAATAACGGATTTAGAAGAGGGGTTTCACATAATGATGATAATACTAAAAATTGACCCACTTCTGGAGGAAGCCGAATGGGAAGAAAGTGCTTGATCAAAGCTATAGAATGCTCCATCTCGAGTCGAGCCCGAGCTGGTAACTGGACAATTTGAACCTAGATGAGGATAAAGTAAATTGGCAATGCTTAAGTTTGGATGTGACACTCACAGCCTTGGAATTTTTCTTGGTACTGGTTGGACCATCAGTATGGTTAGGGGATGTTGCTTTCACAGAATGTGGGAGCTGATAAGGTACAATTATCTGAAAACGAATCATGCTTTGAATAAAGGTGGACGCAAGAGCATTTCTTGAATAGTCAACATGATAACTGGAGAGGAGGTGAAAAAAACCAAGGAATGTCAAAAAAGCTAATGATAGAAGTCGGTAATACCCATAAGACTCTAAAGTAAATTTTGGAAAACACAAGCAATAAACTGCTTATAAGGGAAAGATGAGAAACATCTAGTACAGACTCAATATAACCAAAGTCACGAGCGCATATGGGATGTGGGAATCATTTTAAAATTGACTTACGTTCAACAGCAGTTCCTCCATGTTGATCAAAGTCTTGCCTCCATTCCCAGTTTCGCATTCCAGGTCAACAGCATGTTCAGCAGCAAATTTTGGCACAGCATCGAAAAGCGCCAAATATAGAGCAGGGATCTATAGAATGACATTTTGGAAAGAACAGAGATTGCTTCACAGTATATTGCATATCTCAGGTTGAAATCAAAGCTCTTGCGAGATTCGAATCAGATTCAATAACTTTCCGGTCTAAGCCCCATAGCCCCATAGTTTCATAGAAAAAATAGGAAAAGATTTGCTCTTTACGATAGTGGCAGGACCGCAACTTTTTTGTTGGCTACATTTTGAAAAGAAACTTTCAAAAACTGCACTTCAAACTTCGTAATTTTCAATTTGATCCCAAAATATGAAGTCGCTATCTAGTTCCAAAGCAACTGTGAGGCCCCGGCAAGATTTCGCTAAAAAGCGCCCAAATTTCTCTAACCCTCTTCATTTTTTCTATCTCTCCTCACACGAGAAAGTGAAGATAGGTTAGAGCAGTAGCTTTCGGGCGCTTTTGAGCGAAGTCTGGCCGGGGCCTAAAAGCTTCTTACATGTGTTAGTCCACAAATTACTGTGGCAGGTTCTAATCTTGAAATTGCAAACACAAAGGCAGGAAACAATTCACAAAGAGTTCGATTCCCCTTTTAGCGAAGACTGAATAAGATCGGAACATAAATCGTACTTACTCTAGCTGCTGTTACGCTGTCAAAGATCTTCTTTGCCATTGGAAGGAAACTCGGACGACTGTTCCTGTCTTTTCCCTTAGAATTTCTAATTCCATTCAATTTTTTCAAGTCCGCCTGAAAATAGATTTTGAAGTTAGGGCTAACTAAAGCCATGATCAAGGATAGCAAACCTGCCTTATATGATTCACAAAGATTGGCTAGTATATCTTCTGTCTCGTCTCTAGTTGTCTCCGTCTGTTCCATAACTTTATTTTTCTGCTTCGATCAAAGTTAGTACATTAACATAGGGCACGTTTGAGACCGGCGTGCTGATCTTATATTTCTAAAACCATCGTTTTCTGATGTATTGCTATATTGACTAGAACATCACTAGCGTAAGAATATGAAGTGAGACCGACAACAAAATAGTGGAAGCAGAAAAATGCTCTGAAGTCCGCAAAATTCGTGAAAATTGTTCGTGAGAAGGACGTTTGGCAATAGAGCGCGCCTGCACAATTGACATTATCAATTGTTGCCAGTCATGTGCATGCATTCAAAGCGCTTCAAATACTGTTCTTCAGTGCAGCTCACCTGATATTAACTTCCTCGTTATGATCTGCACTTTGTATCTATTGTCTTTACAGCTAAGAAAGATAGTCACGAAGAAGGAATCCAGTGCACTAGCATAACTAGGACATCCACAAAAAGCGCAAATTTTGTGCAGAAGTCATCATCTTGAGCTATCATTCATTCTATGACTAGGAGACGCGAGACCACAATGCGCACATTGTCTAAACAAGCCTAATTGTACTTAGCAGGTTCATACTTGTTGTTTATCTCATATAGGTTTAGTCACTCTTTGGAACAGGGAAGAACAAACCCAAACTTGTTAAGACATGCCCGCAACGCGGTCTCGCGTTAGGCAAGGGACATACCTCACACGATTTCAGTCGCCACGCGATCTGGCAATTTGCCAGATATCTTCAAATTCAATACTGGTAGACCCCAGATGCAGAGCATGTACAGCTTTCGTAGGTTGATGGAATGCCCCATCTTCCGTGCATTCAGAAACTCCGTACGATGAGTTATGAACATTTGGAGTATTGCCAAATCGCGTCGCGACTGAAATCGCGTGAGGTATGCCCGAGGCCTTAGTCATAGAATAGATGATACCTGATTCAACAGGATTGGCGACCGCTCGCACCCGCGACGCCGTCTGCATCTCTCTCGCGATGCTCTCTGATCATTCTGCCTTGGTTAGGCCCCAAAGCCCCGCCTCCTAGCCGCCAACCTCGTTGAGTCAAAGGGTATGATAATGTCGAGTCGTAGAGCGCACGATTGATTGTAAATGGCGGAGCACACGCGCCGCAGCTGCATTGTCACGAGAGCACGACTTGCACTATAGCTTTCTTGTAATGATACTGACGTTTGGGCGTTCTCTTACAACCCCTCCCTCCCACTTTTGTGCGTGAGCGAGGCTGCAAAAATTTTGACAGTGTCACATCCAGAGGTGCGATAGTGGAAGCCGATTCTCCCCCTACCTTCACTTTTGAGCTGGTACAGGGTGACCACCTTCACTTTTGGAATAAAAAATTTTTTGCTGGACGATAAAGAATGAAATTAAGCAAAACAAACGCAGAAAGGATTATTGAAAGCAAATATTTATGTATACGGCGGCATAAATATATTTAAAATAAACGTGCTCAGTAAATGGTGTATTTGGAAGTAACACTTAGCGAAACTGTACGAATTTTATTGAGCAAATTTTGTTATAACGTACAACGAAGAAAGTAGATCGATCCAGGCAGTAACGGCCGAGAACCAGAATTTTGAATAATAAAATAGTGAAAAATCATGCAAAATTTCCACTGTTATAAATCTGTTGTTTGAAGATGTCAGCAGTTGCGACTTCATAGGTTTTGAAGAGTAAATGGTGCTCTATCAGACAGTGAAGGAGTCGAGTCGATTTGAGAGATAGTCGTTGAAAACCAGAATTCTAAAAATTTACGCCATTTTTGCGTGTTTTTTAACAGTTGACAGTTAAACTCATATAAATCTTGAATGTGAAAGTGTGTGATGTTGCGACTTCATAGGTTTTATAGAGTAAGGTTTGCCTTATCAGGGTATATCTTAGTCGTTCCGATCCATTGAAAAACCTCCGAGATCCAGAGTCTTGAAAAAGCAGGTAAAAAAGCGCTTTTTGAAATTCAACAGCTCATAACTTCTTCAGAACTGCATGAATCATGTTGCGACTTCATAGGTTAGATTCTTCTCATCAAGAGCTTTCAGATAATACATAATATGTGAAGGTTTAGAGCCTCCTACGATTTATGCCCGTGGGGGGAGCCTTTTCATACCAAAGTCTCCCCCTAGCCCACTTTAATGTATTGGAGGGGGGAGACTTTGGTATGAAAAGGCTCCCCCCCCGGGCATAATTCGTAGGAGGCTCTAAACTCCCACACATTATATATCATCTGAAAGCTCTTGATGAGAAGAATCTAACCTATGAAGTCGCAACATGATTCATGCAGTTCTGAAGAAGTTATGAGCTGTTGAATTTCAAAAAGCGCTTTTTTACCTGCTTTTTCAAGACTCTGGATCTCGGAGGTTTTTCAATGGATCGGAACGACTAAGATATACCCTGATAAGGCAAACCTTACTCTATAAAACCTATGAAGTCGCAACATCACACACTTTCACATTCAAGATTTATATGAGTTTAACTGTCAACTGTCAAAAAACACGCAAAAATGGCGTAAATTTTTAGAATTCTGGTTTTCAACGACTATCTCTCAAATAGACTCGACTCCTTCACTGTCTGATAGAGCACCATTTACTCTTCAAAACCTATAAAGTCGCAACTGCTGACATCTTCAAACAACAGATTTAAAACAGTGGAAATTTCGCATGGTTTTTCACTATTTAAATATTCAAAATTCTGGTTCTCGGCCGTTACTGCCTAGATCGACCTACTTCCTTCGCAGTATGTTATGACAAATTTACTTAATAAAATCCGTACAGTCCAACAAACTTTTACTTCCAAATACACCATTTACTAAACACGTCTATTTTATATTCTTATAAATAAAATTTATAAATATTTTTAATATTCATGGTATCTGTGGCCCTAAAGAGGGCCGTTGGGTCACAGTTCGACCAAGAAAGATAGCTCTGTTCGTCCGTTCTACCTCCCCCCCCCCGTCGTCTTCTGGATTTTGGGAGTTGAGTGTCCGACACTACCACCTTCACTTTTGGCCGGCCAGTGGTAGCTGGGACCACCTTCACTTTTGGTGAGCCCGGCTCCCCCCATCGCACCTCTGGTCACATCCCGCTATCCTTCGCTCATCTCCACTATCAACCAACAACGTTTTTGTTAAAACAGTGGACGTTTGTACATCCGCAAGTTCTGGCATCAGCCTGGCCAGACTCCGCTCAGGGGCGCCCAAAAGTGCCCAAAAGCGCCCAAATTTCTCTAACCCTTCTCCACTTTCTCAATCTTTCCTCACACGTGAAAGTGAAGAGAGTTTGAGAAATGGGCGCTTTTAAGCGCTTAAAAGCGCTCAAAAGCGAAGTCTGGCCGGGGCCTCAGGCTAGTCTTGACTTTTTCGCCGCCCCAATACTCTACTGTGCTTGCGAGCCGAGAAAATGCGGTGAAATTTGCGCATAAATAAATAGCTAAAGGCTAGTGCAGGACGAAGGCGCAGAGGCAGTATTAGTTAAACGGACGCGAATGCGGCGCGCGCGTATATTTACCGTTGTAAATGCTGTGCCACGTGCGCTCTGCGGCTAATAAAGTCACGTTCGCGCCCAAAGATACTGCACCTGTGTCATCAGCAAGCCTATACGCCTATGGCACGCGCTATATAGGACTTATCAAACGCAGTGTCGCTTGCATCAGCATCTCCAACTCCCGCGCTGGACTCTGCATCTCTTCCGCAAACATGTTATCTAATCAATTCCAATCGGTTGAGGCTATGCATTTTCCCTCGCTCGCCTTGGGAAAGTGATCAGAGAGCATGTTTGCGGAAGAGACGCATAGTTCAGCGCGGGAGTGGAGATGCTGATGCAAGCGACACTGCCTTTGATAAGTCCTATACTTGATCCGCTTAGTCCACTTTATCCGCTTCATCATTGGTTTCAGTGAACTGACCAATAGTGGAGTGGATGAAGTGGATCAAGCGGACAACCGCTTCGCTATTGGTCAGTTCACTAAATCAACCAATGACGAAGCGGATCAAGCAGATCAAGCAAGTCGGTAGATTATCCGCTTAATATAGTGTGCTTGCGCTGTAGGTGGGATGCGGTCAAATTTGCGCGTAAAAAATTAGCCACGCCGATAGTACCGGCATTCTGCACGGGCAAATGGAAGGCGTCACAGGCTAACTGTTTCTTCACGCGCAAATTTTACCGCATTTCACCTACAGTGCAAACACACTACAGGGTGTCCCAAAAAAATGTTTAGAACGTTTGATCGTTAATATCTCTCTTCCCAAGAAGTCTTTTGCCTTGCTTCAGGTACCGTTCTGTAGAGCTGGCTTCAACTTAGATTTCCATTATAGAACGAATCACCTATCTCTCTTCGTTACTGTAGGGTTACGGTAGAAACTTTAAAGAGGGCTTTGAACCATGAAAGGCCATATTTTGCCTCAGAAAGGAAACAAAACAGCCTGAAAACTTTTACACCAGGCTAATTAGAATTGCTGATTATAACTGTAAAGTTCCCAACTTATTATGATGCTTCATTGAAGAGTTATGCCAGGTGAGAGGTAGCGGCCTTTTTTCAATGTTCCTAAAAAGTGCGATTACACCGTTTAGAAAGCTTCGTAATCTTGTGAATAGTTGAGTATTGAACTCAGCGTCTATAAAAACCCCATTAAACAAGTTTTCACAATTTTTTGAAAAATTTTGAAACGGCAGCTTTTTCCACATTGACACCATATGTTTCAAGTTTCTACCGTAATCCTACAGTAATGAAGAGAGATGGGTGATTCGTTCTATAATGGAAATCTAAGTTGAAGCCAGCTCTACAGAACGGTACCTGAAGCAAGGCAAAAGACTTCTTGGGAAGAGAGATATTAACGATCAAACGTTCTAAACATTTTTTTGGGACACCCTGTATATTAAGCGTAGATTCCAGTGGAGTACCCAGGATTTCGGCTCGGAGGGGGGGCGCGACAAAAAATTTTTTCTGATGAAGGTGCGCGGCGTTAGCCGCGCACTCAGAAAAAATTTTTGGTACGCTTCTCAAAATTTTCGCGGCCCCAAAACCGAAAAAAATTTTTATAGGGCTAAAATGAACTTTTAAAAATTTTTAAAAATTTTCAAAATTTATTTTAATCACTTACAAGTATAAATAAGTCTTTTGCACATTTTTATAACTCATGTAAGTAACTTTCAAAAATTTCGCGACTCATTCTCGTGGGGGGGGGAGGCGCGCCACCCCCTCCCGCCCCCCCCCCCTCGGTACGCCACTGGTATCGTCCTTTCACCCCGTTGTAGCGGGCACGCAGCCTCAGACGCTTTCTTGCGAAGTGGTTTCGACCGCGGCGCAGGGTCGATACGGCTGATCGGCTGTCCATCCGTCCGCTGCCACAGGAATTGGTGAGTTCTTAATTATTTCTTTATCTTTTTGCTTGAAGGTTGCAAAAAAAGAATGGAAGGTGAGTCGAGAAAGTCTTTTGAGTTTATTTATAAATGCATTGTTTGCTGAAAGAGCTGAGTATCCATTCTAAGCGCAGTGTCAGTCAGTTTTTTCGAATTTTCGTTCATGGAATCAAGATTCCACTTATAAATAAACTTAAAGACTTTCTCGTTTGTTGCAACCTGCATGCAAAAAGATACAGAAATTATCCAAAACTCGTCGATTCCTGTGGCAGCGGACGGATGAACAGCTGATCAGCCGTATCGGCCCTGCGCCGCGGTCAAAACCGCTTCGCGGGAGAGCGTCTGAGGCTGCGTGCCCGCTACAACGGGGTGAAAGGACGATAGATTCTACTCGAGTATGGCGCGTGTCTATGGTGCCGGCCACTTGCGCGCGCAAAGCACCGGCATTATGGCAGCGCTATCTGTTAACGCAAATTCTGCCGCATTTTGACGCCGCAAGCATATCCCCTCCACAGTTGCTGCTACCCTTGGTCTGCGACTCAGACCTGCCACGTGTGGCTGACATGTTGGCAATGTGGCAACAACATGTTGGCAGAACATTTTTGCCAACATGTTGCTATGTTGCCAACGTGTTGCTGCCAACGTTGCCAACGTGTTAGTCACACGTGGCATGTCCGCGACGCCAGAAGGGTAGCAGCAAATGTGGAAGGGACGATACTATATTGAGCGGAAAATCTACTCGACTTCAGTCTTAATTTGCAGAAATTAAATGATTAAACAGAAAATGAGACTAACTCGATAATCTTTCTTCAAGGCATATCACTGACTGATGCTACAAAATGTGTAGTTCGCAAACCACAGCGTTAACTGCCGAGTGCCTTTTCTCGAAAAAGTCTGAAGAACTCGTATGGCAAATGATGGATACTCAAATGGGACAAGGGAGCTGGAAATAATAAAGAAGAAAGTGTATGAACAAGCAGTTCAGGCTGAATTTAAACTTTGCTTGCAGTCGCGCAGAGAATTCATGTTCAGGGTGATTATAGTCGACTAAATATGGTCCTAAAATTATGACCACACAATTCTATCTCCTTCATAAAACTTATTTCAACATGGCTGCTGAGGAAAATTATTTTTGAAATTATACACATAGGATATGAGCTTATTGAATATGTTGATCATAATTCGTAAACTGACGTGCTACTAGCAGCTGTGTCCACATACGCAACAATTGCTTAATCTGTCATTCATTATCTTTCGTCACTAATTTAAACACAGCTACCCCCGCCTTTAAGCAGATAATGACAAAGGATGAGCAACATTGGTGAAGTATCGGGTAAAAACTGAAATATCTCAACTAGATATGAATGAGTACCTGAATGTTTCATCCAAAGTGTGATCAATCAAATGATACAACAAAAAAAACCTCTCAACACATCACGTGAGTTTTACATTTTTTGCTTTCCAAATCAAACCTTATCAATACGACTTCCGCAGCTGTTTACTCATCTTTGTTAGGTTTTTCTACCTCTTTCCTCTCACTGGAAATTGATATGCAACATATTTAGGCTTCATTGTGAATGTAGTACTAATCTGCAGTTCAAGCCTATAACATTTCATAACTGAAAAGATCTCAAAATGCTATGTGGATCTATCAAGAGATTTTCCCGTGCGACTCAAATATGATTCATGATCCATAATCCGAATTGACATTTACTCAAAGTAGTGGCTGTCTGCAAATTTCTCCCAAAGGGAGAGCGACAAGTATAATATTTTTCGAATGATGAGAGGTGTTAGCCACTCCCTCCGGATCATGCTTTCCGCAATTTTTGACGGCCTAGATAGCGAGATATTTTTGCGAAGACAATTTGTAAATTTCGAAAAGTTCTGGACATTTCAAAATCATTTACAGATGAAAATGTCACCCGCGTAATTTCACAACTGGGACTACTTCTGAAAATTTCGCAACCACAAACGCCCCCTCGAACGGATACGCTCATTCAGTTTCTCTGGTCAGTGAAAGAAGTCATCTTTGAAAAGTGAGTTGATTAAGTACCCTATTTGCAAATGTATAGGCCGCACTCCTACAAATAAGAGAGCTGCTCAGCTGCTTTAGTGTGTCTCGGAAAGCGATTCTTACGCCCCCAATCCTCTCATGAGGGAAGGATACTTGGTGACCGTGGCCATCATAATGATTTGTGTATCAAAAAATGCGCTTTTCAATGCTGTTCGAATACTGTCTTCCATATCCGCGAAACGACTGGATGGCGTTATGATTATTTTTCCAAGAATGATTTGCGCTACAGCGGAGGGTCAGAATCACCATAGAAAATTTTCTTTCCTTTTCAAATGCTGAATATGACTTAGATAGGTATAAGTACAACAACTCTTTTTAAAAATTCCCTAATAGCTGCAAACGGTAAACTAGGGCAAATTTGGTGATTTTGATTACCCAAAAGTAAGCAAATTTTTTACGAGAAAAAGTTCATAACTTCCTTCGAAAGATAGCTTTGCGGATATCGAGCACAGATTTGAAATCACCGTTTCGAGTGCATCTTATTAGTACACTTTGCAATCCAAATGGGCACGGTCACCAAGTATCCTTTCCTTCTCAGGCATTACGCAGACGATATAGGGTCCTTCGTTCGCGAAGTCCTTTGACGTATTTGGGCTCGTCGATTTTGGAAAAAGAATCCTCCGCGGCCAAGCCGGAAGTAGCACATATGGAAATGTCTTCGTAACAGCACGCCTGATGCCTAGTCTTAAGAAGGAAATCATACTCTTTGATTCAACGGGATTGGTGGCTGGGAGGCGGGGCTTCGAGATCTAATCAAGCTAGGGAATGATCGGAGAGCGCGCGAGAGAGAGACACACACAGAGCGGGTGCGAGCTGTCACCTTCCAACCGCCAGTTGAATCAAAGTGTGTAAAAATCCATCTTTCCTACGATAAAACAGGAAACTTAGACAGAACAGGGGATAGAACAACTTCACAACAAGATAAAAACACGAAAATTTCCCAGCCCTGTGCAGGAGGCTGAACGACAGAATGCGTAAAATGAAGCAAACACTTAATAGAAACCTTTATGGTACATGAGCTGTTAACACTTGAATATTGTGAATATGAAGAGCAAGAATGTTTTTTGATACAATACATTGCCCGTAAGTCCCTATTTTCAACCTAAGGTAAATTTCTATAATCCCCTATTATGGCAACACAATTCTAAAATCACACCAGGAAGATCGATATCAATTTGGACAAGACCAACGGAAGCAGCAGGCAATAAACAAAAGAAAATGAATTGCACATCTTGTAATCACATATTTTCACACATTTTACGCAGACTATTATGAAAAATTCTCAATACAGTCTTTGTACAGTCAATATCAATTACGTACTCCCTTTCGCATGGGAATTACGCATGCGCAACGCAAGGGCACTGTGTGCGGACCTCCAATCGATGAGGCCATTTTGAATGCGCGAGCCATACGCGCGCGAACATGGCGCGGAGCTCATTGCGCCTACGGAGAAGGGAGCACGTGATTGACACGGACTGTACAGAGTTCCGCACAGAGCAATGGCTAACATATTACTTACTATCACAACACTTCTCAGAAACGTTTGGAGGGATTTTTAGATGATCTACGAATAAACAATGGCGTGTTACTCCCAAAAACCCATTCTCACGTGATGAAAACGTAGTGATTGAGAAGATGTAACAATTACTTATGCCCGCTAATGAGAAACGATGAGCTAAAGTGATTTTACATATAATTTAATTTACAATTTAAATTTGGATAATGAAAAAACATGTAGTTGCCTTGACTACAAGTACTCCATTAATAAACGACGTGTGAGGTTCTCACGGTTCGTCTTCAATTCCAAAGCGGTACTCCGCAGTTTCTGAGCAACTTCGGAGTGAGAACCTTTGACTAGACCCTAAAAGATTGAGATTATTATTATTTTCACATTACAGACGCCATTTGATTTCTACCCAGCATGACGCCAAATGACATCAGCTTAACTGCTGCGCCGCGTCGCAGGCGCTCGGTTAGTCTGGCTCCTACCTTAATTGACAGCCTAGTATTTTTTTTTATTTTTTTTTATTTTTTTTTTTGCATATTGTCTGCAGTCGCAGACAATTCATACTTGATTAATCTGAAGGTAAGGCGCGGGTACGATTCGGTTCGGCAGCTAATAAGCAAATATGGGCAGAAAAAAAATCAAAATCACCATAATTTACCAGCGTGCGTATTTATGGAGAACTATAATAGATATGCCTACAACACGCGCGCTAACTTACGACTTGTTTTACCGACAGGTCACTAATAAGGTGCCATCCTTGCCGCGCGTGGTATGCAATCTCAGATATTGAGTTACAAATGATTCGATTATATGATCAAAAGATTCATGTATATTTCTTACCCTGACACTCTGGATAGCTGTCAATACATCAATCGCAATCCCTATAGCTGTGGCGGCATGTACGGCTCCCTTCAGGGCAGCTGATTCAATAACAGTCTGTAAAATAGAGCCCATGAAATGAAAATTGTGCGATTTCCATAGAAATTCAGCCTACCGATTCTTTAAGCAATAAACGAGCAGCTCCACCGGCCACTGAGACTGCGCCAACACTAATACCATTCATGACTGTATCACGATTAATCGGGTCGCCCACTCGCTTTTCAATACGGATTTTATTTTTCTGAAACGGATCTACTCTTCGATATACCAGTGCTGGCAAAGCTCACACATACCGATAAAACTGTTGACTCGGTTTCCTCCAGCATGACAATGCCGTTAGCCAAATTTTCAGTCAGCTGCTTATCGTACTCCAGCATTTTCATAGCACGGTTGATATTTTTCTAGAAAATAAATTTGGAACGAAACTAACAAATAAACAAACTCACCTTTATGTTTGCAACTTTGAGGATGCCAGTGGTTAGATTTGACACAGCAGCCACTCCGCCAACAGCCAAGCCTAAACATATTCAGGTACTACACCTACATCTTCAGATAAGCACTGGAAATGCTCAGGGATATAAAATAGCCACTGAACACAAAAAACTTAACAAAGTAAGGCATACAATTTTAAGTCATTAGGTATTTCCAAAGATCTGTTGGTGATTACAAAAAAAACTAAATATTACCTACTTTCTAACGAGAGAAGAAAACATTGGAAGTGACACTGCTTAACAAAAACACTAATATTACTGCGAGAAAAGCGAAAAAGAAAGTTAATACACGACCTGCAACAGCCATTGGTGGCATAACAATCATCCCAGTGATGATAGCAGCACCTCCACCAATCCCTGCTACTGAGCCAACCGTGGTTGAAATATTGGTCCCGTACTCCCACCGATCAAGCTTAACAAAGATAGCACCAAGAAAGTAACAAACAAAGAAAACCTCTAAAACATAGGGGCGTGAAAAACATACCTCCCCGGCGATAATCTCCAACTCATTCTCTAGTTTTTCTCTATTATCGATCCAGTGATCTAACAAAATCATAGTCTTATCACACATTCCTTTGTACAATAGGAAGTCATCCTCAGGTATCTGCAAAATGTGTTTTGATAATCCAAGCAATTTTGCGAAACCAACCTACCAAGACTTCACCCGTCTGGTCATCATATCTTGGGACTCCCTGGTTATCGAGCGGAAGCAGCTTGATACGGCACTTTTCCGTCATCGTTGTTCGTCAGTGAAGTAGTGCTGGGATCTGCGGGGTACAGATATTGATTAGACATGTATCCCCCACTTTGCGCGCAAATATATTTGAATCCCATGAGCTAATTGTGTTGAATCTTGCCATTAGAGTCAGCTAGAGATCACGAATTCTACTTAGAGGCAACGTCCCCAAATTCTCGACTTCCGTTTTTGTCGCTCCGCGCCTTCTCATGTCTCTGATTCCGAATATCAGGTAGAGAATACGCGGAAAGCCCGACAATCCCCGTTCCGCACAACCCGTAGGGCTAGCTCTCCGGAACGGTGACTGGTTGGATGTGCACGGATGGGCGGGACGAACGTCATGCCCACTCAAAGGGTAGGAGCCAACGGGCGTCATCCGAAGCGCTTTCCGAAGCAATTCCGCTACGTAAGCAAGCTTTGACAGCTCGAGTTGGGCAAGTATAGAGTGGGAGCTCCGCTACTGTTAGGCATCACAATCTCATCGACTCCATTTTGAGTGGAGGTGCTCTTAACAAAGTATCCTTGTGAAATGACCAGCAAGGAAAGGCTATGTAGAAGGCTCCAGTCTCCTTTAAATCATGATAGTTTTTTTTTTGCCATATGCCATCGAACACTCCATTTTTGAGCTTCATAATTGTAAAGCAGGCTCAGTCATGTTTTTTCAAACTGCCTCTTAGGGTTTACTCCTAATATGGCAAAAGGAATCTCAAATGTGAGCGTAGTATGGGTCAAAATGCGCTACAAGCAACTGACATTTGCCGGTATTTTGGACTTTCAACCTAAGCGGCAAACTTCAGACACTGAATTAGCCATAGTCTGATGGTGATCACGAAATGAGCATGTAAACATTCGAGAGAACATGCACTGAAAAACTTTCCCACCCTCATTTATCCAAACTTAGAGGCAAGCACGATAAAAATAAGCAAAGCAAGATGTTTTGGCGACAATTACTGTAAAACTGCTCACCGAAAACTTATTCAGGTGCCGACAATGCCATAAAACAGCATCAGAACGGAAATCTGAATAAATCCATAGTTACGCGGTAAAAAGAGAAAAGTGCAGGAAACAACGCGTGCGGGCTATTAGAATGACGAAACCGCTCGAGTTCTTTCGAACAGCCATCTGAGTAAACTCATGATTCAGTATTACTCACAACATCAACCAGCTTTGTTCACAGGATTTTTAAAGCCAAAACTTTGCATTTCAATCATCAGGCAGAGGGATCTGTACCAATTCTATAGTGGTTTGATAGAAAAACAAAAAGTTGCACCACAATTTTTTATTAACCAGTCCCCGAAATAAGAATGTTCCATCTTTTGAAAGCATCATATAAACAAACAACAGTAATAAACAGATACTATGAGGCATGATAAAACTATCCCAACACAGAAAGAAAGTATCATACTATACATCCAAATTATTTTAGAATCTCGTCACATTCCTAACAGGTACGCTTTGATATGAAGCGCTTACAAGATAATTTAGTTAGAATATACACCATCAAACTGTTGTAGCTCCATAAGGTCAATTTTGTGAAGTCTTTGAGAAGCTGTCGATATCACATTCAGTTAGCGATCCTGAAAGTGCACAACTAAGAAATTGGAAATTGATAAACCCCGACCACAAGCTTTAGAACTGAAGAAACCAAGGAGCAACACAGAACAGCCTGACAGCCAGACCTGCACATGAGAAAATGTTTGCAACGGAACAACAGAAACTACAGCACATATAGCCCAGCTAGACAGAAATGTCTTACTGTATTAGAAGTTGGCTATGATTTTGCGGGAGCACGCTAAAACCAACTATTTACTGCTTCTAAAACGAGAATGTTAGCATGTGTGACGAAACTCCAACCAACATACCGACATATACGAAGAAAGAGATGAAGAAATTGTGGAGAATTTCTCGGCAACTTTTGAGGCACCGGCTCGCAACGAATCCTTTATATCAGACATTTCGGGAACCTAAACACTTACGACTCAAATGATATGAGATAATGTAACTGGAAAAGTTGGGTGCAAAATGGGACGAATAAGTATTTTGGACCAAATATACACAAACACCAGTTGGTCAACTGCGAGGTTTCGGTGCACTGAAGACATTCTAGAAAAGAAACTTACCGCTCCACTTGAGATTGGTTTTTGAAAAAATGATTTCATACGGACATAAGATACAGAGTTCTTAAGGAGAGCATTTTAAGTACTACAGAGCCAGACAGTCACAAGTTCAGTAAACGCAATTATGGAATAATGCAAAACTGTCAAATATGAGGAGAAAGCACATACCTGAGAATAATGAGGTTGACTACCTTGCCCCCATAAGTCTTCTGAACCCAAGGACGACTGTCCTTCGAAACGCTGCAGTGCAGTTTTCGTTTCATACTGGAAAATAACGATATTAAGTAAGATACATAGGAAAACAACTCGATGACTTACATCCATTTCATTACTTCCAAAATACATATCACTTGAGATAGCTTTGGCGCCAGCGAACTTTTTCTGCAAGTCCACATCAGAGCTCAGATTTTGCGGAGCTGGTCTGTGCGACGACAATTTTGTAGAACTTGATGTTGATGTTCTGTAAAAAATTATCTCATCGGAGTATTCAAGCTGGCAGATCTCACTGTTTCTGCGGCTGTTCCTGCCAACTGTCGAAGAAGTCTACTTTTGGTTTCGAATAGTCCGTTGTGAAAAGGTCGCTATCATTGTTTTTGGTAGGTCTAAAGTGAAAAAATTGCATGGGAAATGTAGACGACAGAGACCGTACCTGTCTTCAACGAAATCCCACTCATCATCTTTGGATGTTGGTGAGGAGGATGGTACTGTACGACTGCTTAGGTCCGTCTACAAGACCTCTTATTACACATATCATGAGTAACAATTTACGGCTGCATATGGACGTGACAACAAAGATCTTGCAAAAATTTTTTGAAACTACTGCCCCTGGATCAAAAATTAACAACTCAATATTCCAACACTTTTCTCCACATTACGATTTTTAAGAAAAACAAAGAAAGGCGACATACCTGTCTGATCATCTTAACACCTTGAGCTACTGAATGCGCGGCACGTGGCTTACCAAATCCTCCCATACCAAGTCTTTCAACTGTGGCAGCTTTCTGTGGGTCTGCTGACATTTTAGCCTATGAGACAATACTTACATCAAGAAAAGATGCAATTACCAAGATATGTACCTTGAGTTTTTTCGTGTCGATGTCCTGAATGTCCTGCATTGCTAACCGAGCACTTAGCTTCGCTACAGGTTCATCCTTTTCGACTGCTTGGGGAGTCTGAACCAAATTAGCGCTAGCCTACAAAAAGATTTATCTTGTACTAGACAACGAGGACGGACAAGTTTTGGGTGTTGGGTGAGACCAAATCTGTTTTGAAGAATAAAATAGGAAAACGATCTGAATTTAATCAAAACATGATTTGCATAGAGAGTCCCGTAAATAACAAACACACCTCTGCATATTTCTTTTCGTAATCAGAAGCTCTATGTTCCAATTCGTCGAAGTCGATGCGTACCTTATGTGCACCCAATGCTGACTTTTTGGCCTGCGAAGAACAAAAATAATATATGTTTCCATATTATCATGCAAGGCCCAGATATTCAGCCTCACAAACTTCAAATAAACAAAAAAAACTACAAACAAACCCCAGCTTTCTTGATTGGCTTTTTGAGAATGAGCGAAGGCGGTGGAGCGGTCTCTACTGGATGGGAATCCAGGTGATCCACTCGAGGTCCTACGACATCTTTACCATCATCAAAATCGAAACGGCCTAAGATATTTATACGAAGCTAATCACCATGTTCGCTTGATAGATCACCACTAGGATCGATTTTTTCCTCTTGTGTTATGTATGCGTCACTGCCCAGCGATGTAGTACTCATAGAAGTGTGGACAAAATCTTGAGCAAAGAAATCTTCCTGAATTCATAAGTGCATTTTTGGGATAAAATGAGTGGTTAAGTTCCAAACGAAAAAATATGATAGAAAAGTTCCTCGATAATTCGACCAAGTCACTATAAAGCCAAAAAGATCACAACTCACCTCTTTGTGTTCTTCTACCACAGCAGCTGTATCTATGAAAACAGAATTACCATATTTTTTCTGTACTTCAATGCATAATTGCGCCAGCTTTTCCTAGAACGAAATTTCGAGGATACACTCCGGGTAGTCAAATTACGTAGCCACAACCACGTAAATCCACACAAACGAGGAACGCTGATCAATAAAAACGACAAACCCTGTATAGTTGAGCAGCTTTGCTTTTATATTTCACTTGGGCGTCATTACTATTACAACCATGCTGTTTGAAAAATTGCATCTGAAAAACTCCAATTCCGTGCTGATACAAAATGAATTAAAAGGCAACATACAGCATTAGCATTGCCTCCAACTTGCATGGCACGGAGCTGGAGCCATGTCCAGTTCACATCAAGATTTGTAGAACGAACGAAAGTTAAATGCACACCAAGGTTACGATGAGTAGCTGAGCAATCAATGCAAAGAAATACACCTGAAAAACACGGTAAGATGAACAATAAGAAATGTAATTATTCAAAGGTATCACGATTGAATATGAAAATCGCAATAGGCCAGTCATAATCATCAATTAGAAATCCCTACTATTTGTTTGAGAAGAAGATGAGTGGAATACTCTGTAATGAATTGTCAAAAACTTGCATTTAATGTGTTAGCGATCACTAGTCATGAAAAACAATAATGACCGCAAAATAATGCAACTCGGAGAAAGAGGTTCACAGTCTCCTTATAATGATGGAACACAAGACGTAACTCAGTTGTTGAAGTTTCACCCAATCTATGTGGCTATAGCACATCAATTTCAAAAACACAGTTACTCTGATGCTAAGTGCAAGAGTAGATTGAAACAAAAAGAAAGAGTACAGAATGCAAATCTTACCATAAGTGACAGTGGCCCAAGTGGGATTGCGAGCATTGCAGTCAAAACATAACTAAAAGGTTAAGTAAACTCAACAGGTAGAAAAAACAAGATTGACTTTACCACTTGCTTGACGCACGCATACAATTGTTCACTCTCAAGTTCAATACATAAAAACCTTCACCAAATTTATACCTTGTTAGCCGGAATCGACCGAAGCTTACGCATCGCACTCTGAAGCTCAGATTTTGATGGACCACTGTCGTCTCCCATATTTGATTTCCTTGAAAAATATTTATAGGTAATAAGCGATCAGAAACCAGCGATCGGTATAGAACTAGACGAGAAGGAGCTAAGACGGCATGTAATGCGACATCAATAAATGGCGAAACAAAACATCGGTATGAAAATTCCCGGAAACCTGACTGAATACAGCGAAAGTTCAATTTCGCTATCTTGCTTGGAACGCATTCTGATACGAAGTATGGCTTATCGACCAGTGCCACGTGTATTACGTATTGCCACTTCTATACATGAAAAGACGATATGAAAGATGACGATTCAAACTATCTCGTATGGAGCTCCTATAAACGATTTTATGCATTACTTATTTGTAGGTAACGGATTACGAGTCGCACTGGAATTTATCAAACAGATTTACATCATTGCGGGACTCTAATAACATATCCGCTTTCGAAACTGCAAAACAGTTATGCGAAAGAAGTTATACAGACCCCTAACTCTACAAATTTTACTCTGCCTACAACTGAATACGATTAACTATGCATTGTCACTGCGGCAAGAATGTTCCGAACCAATTATAACGAATACTACTGATATCTGCTACTTGAGGGTGATTTTTAGACTAGAAAAGAAAAGAAAACGCCAAAGTGATAGTACCTACAGGATTTGAAGCCGATAATTATGGCTAAAAGCCGGCTTTCTTGAATGCCTATCATCGCACATCAAAAATGCATGATTACCCGTATTTGATTCGACTGTAAACAGGGCAAATGTAGATGCAGGGGTCCGTAATTCTTTCACAAAATCATTTCGCATTTTGCAAAGCAGATATTTATCGGTGTCCCGAAGGCACCTCAACGTCCATCTACTTGCTGAACGCCATTGCGAATCAGTATCCTATCTTTGTGAGAGAAAGAGATAAGGATTCTGTCGTATTTTACTATTGTTGCTGTATGATCAAACTTGTTGCTCAGTTGTTTTTCTCCCACTGTCACGTTTTTTTTTCGACATTGATGCATGGTATATTAAAAAAGATGACAGCGATGAAAAAGCAGATTCTGGCCATGCCTCAAACTAAGTCAAAGAGATATGCGACATGAAGGACTGAGAACTTAGAACATTTCCTACAAGAGTCAGAAAACGAAGAGAAAAAAGCAAAATATCGGTGTTATAGGTCTCTGTGTTCACCTATAGATCCAATGTAGTCGTTTGGGAAGCCTTTGTAGACTCAAATAAGCTCGAATTCAAGATCGTGAGAAAGGCGGAGAGAAGAAATCGTTAAGGTTAATGAACTTGCTAAAGCCCGCTATCTAGATTGCTGATTACCGCGATCAATTGTGCTTATGTGAGTCAACCATATAATACGTCTTCGATGAGGTGACCAAGTTAATTCACTTCGAGACTTTGAGGGCTTCAAACTTTGACCTTTACATGCAAAGTATGGCACCCGCCACTTGATCCGCTTAATCCACTTCATCCGCTTGAACCGCTTCGTCATTGGTCGATTTAGTGACTTGAGCAATAGCGAAGCAGTTGTCCGCTTGATCCACTTCACTATTGGTTGGTTCAGTGAATTGACCAATGATGAAGCGGATCAAGTGGATTAAGCGGATCAAGTATGGCAGGTGCCTATCGACGCACTTTCTTCAAAACCGGCAATTATTGACGTAACTTCACTCAGCTTCAAACCGGAGAAAAATCTCACTAAGTATGAGTGTGGGAAAGCTGCTAATGCAACACAGGATGGTGAATGAATGATTGCATCAGTTTACGAAAATATCACAGTGTCATTCACAAGTGATAATGTGACTTGAATCCAAGTCAAGGAGAATCAATATCGTAGATCATCATGAAAGCTGTATGCTCAGGATTCATCTAAAAAAACTCGAGAAAGCTATCAGGGTTACGCACAAGATAAAACACTTTTCAATGCGACTGTGGTGATCTGCATGAACTGAAAGAACACGAAATCACGTCAAATATGGTGTAAATTTGCGGGTCTCTCTCACAGCCCATAGAAATCGTTCTCATAGAGGACACTCTAGGTTCACCATTAGTCGAAAACCCTGTGAATAAATATGACAACACAAGCAAAAAAGAAAGGATGACCAAAAGATCGATATTCGAGATCTCCAACAAACTCATGACCATATAAGGAAAGTAGGATACTAGTTTGAACACCCATGCATGAGGAAAAAGAACAGATTTAGTTCGCACAAGAATTAAAGTACGAAGTATACACCATCAACAGTAGCACTCTCCAGATCAAGTGCAAAATCTTCCAGCTCAAGTGCAAATGAGTAGACGTTATTCGGTGAATACGAAGCATGACACAAGCTCCAACATGGCAGAAGAACGGAACGACGACGTCATCTCAGCCGGTTTATATGGTCATGTACAGCGCGGCACGAAACGCGATAGTCCAAAGGGAAATAGCACGGAAGATCTGAGAGAGCAGAGAAGACGCAGTTCGCTCGCGCGTCGCACGCGATGGGTCCCAACGATGTGTGATTAGAGCGAGGAATCATCGTAGTGACAAGCATTAGAATTGTGGCACTGAGCGCCAAAATGAATGTTTCACGCAGCATATTTCACGGATTCTAAGTAAGAAGCCATTTGCCTAACGTGGAGTGGCCAGGGAAACTTAACTTACGTAATGGATTGCCACAAAGCGCCGAAATTAGAAACTGAAGTTGTCGCCAAATCAGTGACTTAAGCGTGTTGCACACCATATGCGATTACTTGACGACCTGTAAAATTAGAAAACCGTCTTGGAGTGCAACGAACTAATTTCAAGTCTGCCTTCTCTATCTGCGGAGCATTTCCGGATGAGGGTTATGTGGTCTTCCTAGGTCTCAAGTTCAGCCGTGATGATTGTCGGGGCACTCCGTGCAGTAGTAGATAGTTTAGTCTGAGTATAGCCCCACTACCCTGCCTTATGTGAATCAGAAAATTGTTGACGACTGGCTTCAAGCTTAGTTGCTCCTTCCATTAGATTTGGAATCAGCGCTTCGTGACCTCTAAGATTGTATGCATTTTCTCGAAAAACCGCTTCTACCAGATATCCTTCCTCTATGAGGGCTTACCAGTGTAGGTGCGCGATTGCCGCGCTTAGTGTGCAGACTTTTACCCCCATTTTTATTTTACCAATACGCCCTCGCACAAGGGCGTGATCATAGACTTACGGACAGCTCGAAGTTGCGGACCACATGCGGTGCGGCTGAATTGTTGCGAGAGCATGACTTGTACAATGGCGAAGTTGTACTAGGGCAAGCGTTTTACGTCGCGGCGCGTGCTCCGCAGTGATGTCCAGTCCGTGCGGTCAACGAATCGACTATAGCTACTGTGCTGAGACACCAGCTACTAATGCTTTCGCAGAGAGACTTTGTTTGAAGAACTACATGGAAGGTTTCTAATACCCGCGCGTTTTGCGTGGTAGGTCCCATCCGGACATAATTTTGGACAGCGACTATGTATGTTTCAGGTAGGTGCCAGAGTAAGCGAATATTTTGCTCAGGTTGGAGTCCCGCGCAGAAATGACGACTCTCACCATGCTGGCGTCAATCCAAGTGACGTCAATTCTACGCGGGACCCCAACCTGAACAAAATATTCGCTTAGGTAGTAAGCGAATATTTTGTTCAAGTTGGGGTCCCGCGCAGAACCGGCATCACTAATCATTGTGGCATAATGCCAACTTGGCGTTGTGCCACAATGATTAATAACGCCAGTTCTGCGCGGGACCCCAACTTGAACAAAATATTCGCTTACTCTGGCACCTACCTTACTCTGGCACCTACCTCACTTTCTCACCTGGTGCCTAGATCGCAAACGATAGTACTTTTTTTGGAGGGGATTAAGTACTAATCGCCAGTTAGCGCGAGCAGCATAGCTGATGCGTCAGCATGGGGAATGGGATCCTATAGGCAGGAAAATTTGTTGATTTATTTCTGTAGAGTTTGCAGAAGTATGCAGCTGCAGACTTTAGCAGTAGAAAAGATAGTTTTCTTTTCAGCTAGCGAATCAGCAGATGTCTGAAAGTCGTTAGCGAATGATAAGTTTTTCGAACTGGTTCCATGCAAGTTTTTTTTCTTGAGGCGTAAGGCGCGGATCTGTCCATATTGATAGTTATGAATGGATCTCTAGTGCTTTGTCAGGGATATAGCGTAGGAACTACTTCCAAACGCATTTTTTTTTGTAGATGTTCAAATCGATGGTGTGATGCAAGACTCCCTTTGGAAAATTCGGGTCTCTTCTTCAGATCTTATATGGGCTTTACGGATCCTATAAGAATTAGAGATACTAACTTTAAAAAAGTCTATCACGCTAGCTGCCGCGCATGAATCGGGTATGATTCAGTTTGAGATTTTTTGAAGTCCGAGAGAGATGAGAGCGATTAAGAAAAGAACAGCAACCCGCGCTTTGAAGGTGGAAATTCTTAGTAAGTGTTAAGAATGATATGTTTATTACTTTTATAATCGGCCAAAATACCTCAGTGATTGACACCAAGCGATGTCGGAGTTGTTATGGCTCTTATTTTTTCACAAAGTAATGGGTGGAAACTAGTTTGCAAACGGTTTGTGACAGAGCTGTCACTCGCACTTACCATGCATATGGCGAGATAAGTGAGCACAGGGATATAACAAAGTTTTTCATCAATAGAAGTGCCCTAATTTCACGCGTATAAGGCGCACCTTTTCGAATTTTCAAGAGAACTCCCCAGCCGCTTCTCTGTATTCCGGAAAGAAATCCTTATACCGCACGATTCTCTCAAGCAATATACGGCACGTTATAGGGTCCTTTGGTTGTAAGGCCATTTGGCACGTCTGGGCTGGTCGATTTTGAAAAAAATCCTCCGCGCCTTATACGCGTGAAATTAGGGTACTTTGAATGAGCAGAGTCTGGCACATTGCGATTTTACCGGTATTAGCTTTATTCGCGCGACCGTGCTCCGCAGTATATGGCCAGCCCCGCGGTCAATGACTCGGAGATACAGTCGGTTTCATCTCGGATTAGGCGAGACATTCTACGTGGAGCAGCGCATGCGCATCGCTGGAGGCTTCGCGGGCGCATAGCGCTGGCATTTTGCCAAGTAAAGACTAGGAGGATTGAAGAGACGCAGACATGGGTTCTCAGCACGTTAGGATATACTGTAGCTGCGAAACGGCGCGAGCTGTTGCGAGGCGGACTCGCGCCAGTCCAATTTCCGCCTAAAGCGGGTCGAAACTTACTGTATGCAGCGTTGGCGGTGCCAAGTATTTTCTCAGAGGGAGGGGAAGGAACGCTACAGCGAATTTCTTTTCCTGAATGAAGGGTCCCAGGAAGCTTTCTTTGAAGGGTAGTCAGACAACTGACCGGAACTTCCGCAGAACGTTTGGGAGAGTTCCGTCGTGACAACTGCGGAGTTCCGTAAACGTGCTGCGGAAGTTCCCAAATGAGGTGCGGGAAGTTCTGAAGAATGCGAACCACAACACAAGGGAACACCCAAGCGAGATTCCAACCTTGCTCTATTGACTGTTACTCACTATCCTCTGCTCTATAGATGACATGTTCGACAGTGAACTAGACAGCATCGTAAGAGACAACACGTTCAAAAACCTGCGGAAGTACGGCATGTCAAAGTGCTGCGGAACCGCTGGCATTTCGGGATGTTCGCAGCGTTTTGTGAGAGGCGAAGTTCTTTTCATCCATTCTAACGTGAAGATCCGATGTTCCCATTTGCAAGGTTTCCACTTTTGTAATTGTAAATAAAATCGTGCGGAATTGCTGCAAATTCTGCTTCCGGTGCATTGTCTGAGTAGTTCCAAGTTTTTACTGGTTCGCTGTGAATTCAAAGTGGGCGTGGAGGCTGCCCCGTTCGCCTACGAAGAATTTATTGCGAAGATATTTTGCATCTTTATGAATGCACAAACTTTATCGATTATCTGCAAGTAAAAGTAAGTCTATTTGCACAAATCTCAGTTCATATAGACCACTCTCCAAATACGGCTCACGCTTTGGGCGAGGGAGAGGGGCAGGAAACAAATACAAGTCCTACAACTTTTTTTCCGGTCCACTCAAATTTTCGCAAATTTTCGGAAAAAAAGGACTTCTCCTCGAGAAAATTTCCAAAATATTTTTGCTTCATCTGTGTAGGAATGGCTGAGTGATAACAACAACTGTACTATAATATTTGTTGGAATAAAATCGAATTACCAAAGAGAAGTGCAACACATGTAGATATTTGATCATTGATAGATTTTTTCTCGGAATTACTGCTGAGGACGATTGTAATGATAGTTGCAGATGGGAAAAGTTACCATGGCAACACCTTCATCTCTCAACTGCAGTTTTTTTTACATTTGCGGTTACAAATTAGCATTTAGACAAAAAAAAAACAGGATAACCATAATTCAAAGGTTGCTGAGCATAGTCGGACGGAGGTCACTGAATATGTGCAATTGCACAATTTTGAACAGTCAACGAGAAAGTTTATCATGTGTCTTTTGAGCAACTTCTAACAAGGGAAAGATACTTGGTCGAAGTGGCGTTTTCATATGAAATGTACACTATCTTATAGAGCATAAAACGCTGATTCCAAATCTACTTTCCTTATCTGCAAAGCGCTTTTGGATGGGGAGTTCTGGAGATTTTTTGAGGTAAAAATTCATTGATTTGGCTAAGGTTAAAACAGCAGTTGATATCTTTTCGGCGCTTGAAAAGAGTAATGATTGACATGAGGTTGTTAGATTGAAGGTATTTATTGCATAAAAGGTCCTGGTAGTAATCATGGACCCGTCTGAACTCACGCATCAAAGTTCTGAACGCTTTGTAGCTGCGCTTTCAAGATTTTGTATCGAAAATTTTTCGTAATTCTCGTCCCGGAAACGCTTTGCAGATAAGGAAAGGAGATTTGGAATCAACATTGCATGTTCTATAAGATAGTATACATTTCATATGGAAACGCCACTTCGACCAAGTATCCGTTCCTTGTAAGTCCTTCGGCATTTGTTTAGAATGATTCTGCAGATCACTCGAGTAAATAAAATGCAATTCCTTCTCCATCCTCCCCTTTTGTTGTGTAATCAACACGGATGTAAACAACTGAATAATTAAAAAGTAATCTGCACCCTTAAATGAGTCTTGGCCAGAACAATGGAATTAGGTCGAGCACGTGGCTCTCTTTGAACATCATTAATAAAATACAGATGACGCGCGTTTAGATCGTTCATTCAAAATCAATGGCAAGAAAAAAGTGAACATAATCTGAGGTGTGAAAATTTCATGGCTTTGACAATCAAAATGTGAGCATTTCGAGAGGAAAATAATTATGAAAAATCGTACAAAGGCACACAACTTGTTTGATTACTGCAATCAACCCATATTCGTTCCGATTTACAAAATAGATGAAGTTTGCAAGCGTTATTGATAATAGCTATCGTCATAATCCATTGCTTGCTGATTGTTGTACTGATCACATTCGTAATATTGAAGTGGGAGGGAGTTCGACTTGCAAAGATGCTGCTGCTGATGCTGATGTGAAGGCACAGAGCCTGGATCCTGCGGAGCAAGTGGTGGCTGCATTGAATTCGTGTTATTCTGACATGGCATTCCGGGATACATAGGATATCTGAAAGAGCTTGTGTCATATGTAGGTATAATAGCATGCTATTTTTTTGACTGCATCCAGAGTTGCTCGTGTCAGCGCCGTTCCAGCGCCGTTCCACCGCCGTGTCGGTGCCGTGCCGAAACCTACGTGACAAAGCGTGCATTGATTGTTCAAATCTTGTTAAAACAATTGCGGTACCGCGCTGGCGTGGACAACTTAGGTCGCAGCTCTGGACCACCTAAAGCGACCAATGGATAGCTACAGTATACTTATTACAGTGTACTACCGTATTTTTTCAGGCGCCCTGTCGCGCTGCGCGATTCGGTACAACAGCGACTTTGGTAATTCATCGCTAATGCGCTGTCTTTGATTACAACTTGCTCCTTTGCAATAACTTACACAATCTACCCAAATATGCGTCCCAGAAGCGCGCACGATAAATTCGTAGAAAGCTGGCAAATCGCCAAGTCGCGTGGAAGTGGCGATTCGGCCTAATCGCATGATGTATGCCTTAGGCCTAAAGGGCCGGGCATACTTCACGCGATTTCAGTCGCGACGCGATTTGGCAATTCGCCAGAAGTCTTCATATTCAACACTAGCATTCCGCACATGCATAGTGTGTATAACTTACGTGGATTGATAAAATGCTCTATCCCCTGTACATTTAAAATGTGCTTACAATGAGTTATGGACAGTTGGAATATTGCCAAGTCGCGTCGCGACTGAAATCGCGTGAAGTATGCCCGGCCCTAAAGACATACCTCGCGCGATTCTGGTCGCTGCGCGATTTGGTATAATGTGGACCCCGGCCAGCTTCCCATATTTACCTGCGCGACGCTCCCGCAGCGCATGCCTTCAGTGCGCTTTCGTTTCTGCTTCATATGGAAATTATTATGTTTTCTTCTCTAAACTGGCTTTGTTCTGTTTATGAACGCTCTATTTCAGGTGTAGACGGCTCAGGACAACTTCCTATGATGGGTTTTTAAGAGCCTCAATAGTCTTAACAGCCTTTGGCTCAGGAATTTTTTTTCAATAGCGGAGATTATAGCATATTTTAGTGGAATATTTCTCTGAAGATTTTGATTACAGAGTAAGCGTGCCTATCTGATTGATTTATTAGGTTGTCCCGAAAGCTTTGTCCGTTTTTTCAACCTATCATATATACGCGTGGAATGAAGATAGGGAAACGCTCCAAGCATTATCCGACGCATCTTTTCCTTCTCTTTCTAACTTTCATGCTCCCATTCCGATTAATTTTTTGTTCACTGAGATAAACGCCGAAATCTCGAACCTATGGTTTTTACTACGTCCAAATTTTGCAATTTTTCACAATCTTTATTTTTGACTTTCGGAAAAGCTTTGGCAACAGTTAGATAGAGCAAACAAAGGGCAATATAATGCAATTTTGCGGCATCTATAGCCAGCCTTGAAAATTTTTTAGAATTATTTTCCTGATGCTATCAAATTCCAATTTTAATGATGCCAAAAGCCAGAGATCGTGAAACGGCGCACAACTAAAGTGTTATTCGATGCAGCTTTTTCTCCTCTTTCCAGTGAGTATATATTCTCTCCAATTTGCGGGGTCTTTGGCGATAGAATTTTCATAATTCTTGAATTTGACTCCACCCCAGCGTGTACACGTAAAATGCAAAATCTTATATTTCGAAGAGATAAACGCTCATTTGCTTCGTAAAAATAGTGAATAATCGTAATCGGTTTTTGAAAGCTTCAAAATCCGATGATTTGTTAGTGTTCGAAGCGTTTCTGTATTTTAGAACTTCGCAAAAGTGAAGAATTTTGAAAAAATTGTCTTTAAAAGTATTGAAAAGCCAGCTAAATACGCCAGACAACTGCATTGCATTGCCCTTTGCTTACTCTATCTGAGGGCTATCAAAGGTCTTCCAAAAGTTGAAAGTGAAGATTTTGAAAAATTGTCAAACTTGGACATAGTGAAAACCATGGGTTCGAAATTTCGGCGTTCATCTCAGTGAGCAGAAGAGTAATCGGCATGCGGGCTTGACAGTTAGAATGAGGAGGAAAAGATGCGTCGGGTAGTGCTTAGAGCGTTTCCCTATCTTTGTTCCACGTATTTTTATGATAAGTTAAAAAAACGGACAAAACTTTCGGGACAACCTAATATAACGTATAATTGCTTCCTATTCTTTTGTAATGCGTCAGTGGGCTCTGATTGTACAAATGTGCTCGCTAGCTTACGCTTTTTAACTTTTTTCAAATGATCACAGAAGGAAACGTTTCGAAAGTAGCCCTCGACTCTTTGTCTCTTCTAGAATACTCAATCAGCGGTACTTCCATCTAGCATGCAGGAGATTGACTGATATCTGCGCGCTAGTGGGGGTTGTGAACGTTCTCTTCTTGCTTAGACTCTTCTCGAGCTGAGACTGATGGTTTCCACTTCCTACTTCATTTCTACATCATGTAGAAATGCTTTTTTACTCATAATTGAACGAGAAGCGTCAGGCCGAGCGCGAGTTGCTATGCGCCGCGGCGGTACCTATGAGAAGCTGGCCGGGGTCTACACTATATAACAGCGGCTCTTTGTAATTAGTTGTTAATGCGCTTCCTTTGATCAGGACGCCAAGTCGCTTGAAAGCGGAGATTTGGCCGAATCGCGTCAGGTATGCCTTAGGCCTTAGATAGAGAGCACTGGATGAGAGTTTTGATTACGTCTTAAGTTGCCAGCCCGCGCCAGCATCGTGCCGAAGGGGTCCATCGATCAGTAACAATACGCCCGTGTGGGTTCGCGCACGGCGCTGGCACGGTTTTGGCACGACACCGGCATACAACCAACTCTGGACGACGCCTTTGATTCGGAAGATCAAGGAGCTACAGTAATTTGCGCTACATAAATGCGAGAAATCATGAGGCTTCCAGTGATTTACCTGTTGTCGACGTTCGTTGTGACCGTGAATGTATGCCGACTACTCTCGATGTAGAACGAAGGTCTCGAAGCAGCTGTTGTAGGGCTGGTTGGCAACGAACCATTGCTATTGTGTACTTGTTCGGGCACAAGGGCCGATGTGTCCATATTATGCGTCATGGACATTGCTTGACGCATGTCTGAAAAGCCTACGATAATCTGCAGATGTTGTAAGACTAGCGGGATGAACGTCATTGCGGATTTTTCTCTTTTTCTTTCTCTTTCTCTCTCTCTCTCTCTCTCTCTCTCTCTCTCTTTCACTGTTCCAGACCCTCTATTGCCCTCGATGCCTGCCCTCCCCCCCCCCCCCCCAGACGCATAGGTCCGCAATGACGACTAGTCCGTGCGTTTGCGACGAAGTAGAGCAGAGACCCACCGCAGTACATGTCCGGAGTCAAAGTGACGTTATAGTCCGGATCGCACTCAGGCATGTGATCCAAGTTTGGCATAGACGCAGCGTTGTTGATTGCATTTTGATAGTTTGACAATGTTGACGGGAGCGAGTTGCTGGATAAGCTAAAACAGAGATTTTATCTGGAGAAAGTTAGTCCCACTAATGCCGTTTAGTGATGGATGTCGGATAATCTTTTCGTAAGGTTATGCACAACTTCACCACAAAGATCCTCAAATAATAAAAGGATTTCTCGTGCAAGCGGCGGATAGGGAAAAGAGAAAAGGAGAAGGAGAGTAAACGAATGCAAACTTGAACTTTATTGATACGTCTAACTATAGTCGAAACTTTCGGGCTACCAAATTATTGATAGATTTTCATTGATGTTCCATTCTTGGTATAAATCGTGACAAATAAGTACGGATTAGCTATAGCTTACTTATATGGTAATCCTCCCTGGCTGCCGTCAGTATTACACGAGTAATCACCGCTGTATCCTGAGAGCGATTCAACCGATGTTGATGAAGCCGAATGAAGCATCGAACCCTCATAGTGCTGTCGATTGTCCGGAATCTCCTTGAATAAAAAATGAAATACTCATAGACGACCCTTAAGAGTCACAAACTCACATAATCGGAGTTGTTCTGTGCTTGATTTTGGTTTGCATCTACAGCGACTTCTCGAAGCACATCATGCATCAGCTGATCTGGCATATGCCCGAATGAATCTACCACTTGCAGATTTTCACGCACCAGCGATCCGAGCATCTTAACTCAATAGTTTAGACGAATTTTCTCGAAATGTTACAAATGTTTCCCAGACAGAGTCCAGAAGTTGCCCTGTAAAGGCGTTGTGTCAGCGCCGTGCTGGAGACATTCTGGCACGGCATTGGCACGACGCTGCTACACGAAATACTGAACGACCTCGAAGAACCTTGAAAATCTCACCATAACACTCGGTATGAAAAGCAGAAGATTCCCAAATCGTGATGATGCAACCTCCTTAGGATGTGTCTCTCTAACGACATGATAAAGTGTCTCCTGAATTCTATCCCTCATATCAGCAATAGTTTCCGACGCTTCCGCCGATAGTCCTTTGATATCTAAGTCATAAAAATAACATTGTGTTAGGAGTAGTTGCAGACTCACGAACAATTTGACTTAAAAAATCATTATTTCAAGCGCTGAATGTATAGCTTTCTATAAAAAAAGACTTTAGTGCTGATAGTTTACTAATTAAATATAATATTATACAACAAGAAACTCGGTAAATACAAAAATTCGAATAGTCTACGATTCTAAGTGAAAAATTTTCATTTAGCTCTAGTTCGCATAGTTCAAAATGAGAACTGAAATGATGATATTTGACGAAAACATAATTACTGTCTCTAATGACACATCAGAAACCATATGTTGATTTAAGTGAAAAAATCAAGACGTGCTAGCTTAGATCTAACAAAGGATGATTTACTGTAATAAAAATGTTTACATTTGACTATCTTTTGAAAAATTCGAGGAATTGGTCAGGACTTCCCAAAATTTCTCGTATTTCTTATAGAATAAAAACCTACATGGATTGGCTATGATGATAGCTTTTATTAAAGCAGCTTCTTCCTCCTTGATGTTCATCCGACGGAAAGGACTGATCAGCTCGTCCAGCGCTCGCTCAGCTAGACGATTTCCAAAATGACTGTAAATTATATACATCTAAACTCAACATCTATGTATTAATTGTAGCCACAAAGGTTACATACTATGGTTCATTCCATCGCACGCCACAATCTCGTCTGATGTGACCGTAATTACAGAGGGTAATGGTGTCCTGTTTATTCGTGTTTTTTGCTGTAATGACGCTGAAGCAGAATACCATCAATGGAGCAAAGCAGTGTTTTACAGTCGCCACCTGCAAATTTATAAGCTGAGGCTGTGTTCAGAGTCGTTTGTGCCAGCGCCGTGCCAATGCCGTGCCCAGGAAATCAACCAAATAATATGCGTCCACTTGGGTTCCGACACGGCGCTAGCACGGTAGGGTCAATGTTGGACACTTGCGACAAACCTTATCATCCAAGCTTTGGATATCCATGATGTCGAAGAGGTGATCGACCCAATCTATGGCAGAAAGTAGATTTCGATGTGCAATGGCTGGAAGTTCGCCTGGCTCTATCTCTCGGAACGAGTCATAGCGCATCTGAATTTACTTTATTATGAAAGCAGATATACACCAAAATGCATGCAGGTACCTATACTACCGTAGGGCAACGTCATTTGAAAATTTATGGAAAAAGTTGAGCACAATAAGTTGTTTTCTACTCTAGCACGATAAGTTGTTCAGTTTAACCATTAATTTATAAATAACACGCTACAGCCCTGCTTTTAGTCATGCCATCTCGCCTCTCTGTAATCTTATGGTGGCATGGGATACTGTAGCGGTGCAAATAGGCCACCAACAAGTGCGTTCTTTTGAAGATTATTTACGAAAAATCAATAAGATACCTGTCCCTTAGTTTGAGCAAAATGAGCTGCATATCTCTAGCAAGCTTTAACGGCCACGGTAGAATACGTAGCGGTGCAAAAGGGTCACCACAGATAATGCGCCATGGAGGCTTCCATACTCAGATATATATCCAGAAGATGCTTGCTCTACAGCTTCGGAGAAAATAGCTACATCTCATCCTTACCAAGTTTAAGATCTTACGGTAACAAACTGTAGTAGTGCAAAAAGGCCACTTATGCGATGTTATGGGGATTTGCATAAAAACAATTCAAAAAGTGATTGTCTTATAAATATATCAAAAATAGCTGCATTTCTCCCTTACCAAGCTTCGAAGATTTACAGCATACTGTCGGAGTAAAAGTGCCATCAATGGGTAATGCTTTGCTTTGGCGTTTAAAACATAGGTCGAAAAAAGGTGGCTAGCATGATATATATAATTCTGTTAAACGAGACACAAGTTCTTCCCCAGGAAATTTCAAAGGCCTACGGTAGCATACTGCAAAAAGGGCACCAGTTCATCTGTTGTTTGGAAATTTGTTTGCTAACCCAAAGGTGCTTGCTCTAATATCCTATCAAGAAAAGCTGTACTCTTCCCTTAAGAAGCTTTGAGTGCCGCTAGCATACTGTAGCGGTACAAAAGTACCACCAACAGTTCTTGATTTTTTGTGGAGATTATCATCATAAATCGATTCAGAATATGCTTTTTTCATAATTCTAGAAAGTACAGCTTTTTACCCTATCAACTGGGAGGGATGCCCATAAAGTCTACAGGATTACTCACCTCTGTTCGCTTGCCATCTAGCACAGATGGATCCTCCAAAACACGTCTTATAGAATTGAAACTTAATGGATACAGCATTGTCCCGTCTATGTTTCCGTCTCCACTACCAACCTAAATCTGTGTGACGTATACATTTCTCACAAATGAAAAGGCATGTTTGCTGTACATCATGTTTTCTTGAAAATACTCAATAAATCATGTGATCCGTCGCTCAAAATATATTTGACTAGCTTGCTTACCCGGCTTCGCCCGGCCCTGTCAAAACACTATGTCAAAGAACACTATCCCTATTCCTGTACGAACCTTTCCCTATGCCCACGCCTACATGCCAACTCAATATTCCCGCTGTTTTAGTAATCAGCATGCTCGATTACCCTGCCAACTCCCAGCCCCGTTGCTCAAACTTTGCAAAAAATCGATAAAATCGATAAAAGTAGTGGACGATCTTAAAAACTAATATTGAATTCGTAATCAGCATGCTCGATTACCCCCCTGTGCAAACTCCCAGCCCCGTAGCCCAAACTTCGCAAAAAAAAAATCCATAAAATCGATAAAAGTAATCGATAATCCTTAAATCTAATATTGTGTTCGGAATCCCCATGCTCGATTACCCCCTGTGCAAACTCCCAGCTCCGCAGGTCAAACTTTGCAAAAAAATCGATAAAATCGATAAAAGGAATCGATAATCCTGAAAATCAATATTACATTCGGAATCCCCATGCTCATTATGCTCGATTACCCCCCTGTGCCAACTCCCAGCCCCGTAGGTGAACTCAGCAAAAAAATCGATAAAAATCGATAAAATCGATATCGATCGATGACGAAAAGTAGCCTATGACACCCGCCGGGGCCCGAAGTGTGTGCGTGTCCGGATCGGTTCAGAAATGGAATTTTCTATTCGGAACATACGTACAGACATACAGACAGACAGACAGACATACAGACAAACAGACATTCAGCTTTATATACAAGATGGTTTTGACAGAGTAAGGTTCTGATTTCCAATATTATACATTGGAGAAATTCTTCTTTCTCCTACCACTTTTTGGGCTTTAAGACTTGTTCATCGATGAGGGTAGTCGTAAATATTCAAATAAAACACATTTGATTGATTCGTTGCATGCATCTATTGTTCGGAAAAATTTGCACAATATGCGGTGTAAAGTAATGTGACATGTAAAATTCATTGCCCCTGTAAATTTTTCGCTAAATGGATGTCTTCTAAATTCTTGTACATATTATTTTCAGTAGGCCTCTACTATAGATTTAATCGCAGGAATGAGTTCATTGATAACGCACTCAACGATAATGATAACGTGGTACCCAGGTAAATCTAGGTATCACTTTTCCCAATGTAAATGATAGAGAGATCTTAGCTATGCCACTGCCAAAGTAGCACCTCATATGTTCTATCCGAGCTAAGAAATCAAATTTCGAACTCCCGCCCAGACCGTACTATCTACGTGCACGAGAACGCTGATTGGTCCGCTGGCGAAAGGTAAGACGGCCTGGACTTCGGAGTTGCATGAATGTCAAATGAGCTGAGGGATGACCTAGTGCACCCATATTCGCCTGGACAAATATCTGACTTATCTCTCTGTCCAAACTTAATGTGAGGCAAAAAATTAATTTTATAAAAATCGTTCAGACTTAAATTTGACGAACCATCAAATCGATATTCATGATTTGCATGAGCGTTGTGCGCATCTCAACTGGGAGTTTACGAATCCATTCTGCGTCGATTTCGCCTTCATCATCTGTGCTCAGCTTTGAACGACGTTGTCGTCCTTGGTAATGGCGACCAGTGGCATCTCGATCGGGACGAACAGCTAAAATGTTGGAATAGTAAAAAATACAGATTCAAAACGTGAGATTTGCACCAAATTCAGATGAAAACGGCCTTTCGGCACCGTTATCATAAGCTGTTGTTAAGCGCACATATAAAGAGATATGCGGTGCTTGTACACGTTGTCGCATGTTCGTATAAAGTCGTCTAGACAAAATGTTCCGTATCGTTGCGAGGCCACAAGCACGTCTCTGATGGGTAGCGCAAGATTACGGTAGCGTATGATTATTGAGTGCCGAAGAGCCCGTACAAAGTAGGAAACTAAAGAAAATTGCACTGTCTATTTAGTCTAAACTCTAGCCCCGAAAAAACGCATATAGCGAACGCGGTCGAGCAGCTATTATAGCTGGAGCGCGTAAGTGCAGATACTATGGACCAATAACAGCCCGCGCGCCGCGTTCGCGCATATCATATGGGCATCCGCCTTCGTCTAAGAATAGCCTTCAGTGTTCTAAGAAAAGTGGAATTCCTTACAAACCTTTTGGATCCATTCCAACTTCGATACATTTCTTGAAACGACAATAACGACATGAGTTGCGTTCATGTCGATCAACGACACATGTGCCATTGTGACGGCATTGATATTCAGATGGTCGTTTGAGTCTAAATTTGTGCGACAGTTTCAAAATATTCAATGAACTATGAAAAAATAAAAAATAGCCAAAATAACATGTACGACCTTACGTTCTACGAAAGAATCCCTTACAACCGAAGCACGTGACGACTCCATAGTGAGTCTTTGCATTTCCATCTCCGCAAACACGGCATGCTTCCATTTCTGGAAAAGAAAGAACATTCAGAAAAAGTAATATGATCCCCAAATATTTGAATGTATTGTTATCGATAGCTGTCTTTGCAATCTGAGCGGAAGGCATAAAAATGTGACAGACTGCTCGTTGCTCTCGCTGTTCTATGAGATTTGCTCTCAGCCACAAGCAGACGAAAAATGTCAAATGAAAAAAAGCTTTGGGAGTGACCTGATATATCACTTCTCAATTGCTTGCAATAACTTTTCGAAAAAATAGTGAAAAAATGGACTTTGCGCGCTGAGAAGGTTATAGAAAGCCCGTCTCAATAAACTGCATTTCTTTGAATTCCCAAAAATAGCTGTGGCGTAAGTGCCGGCAAAAACGTTGAAAAATAGCTACAGTATCAAAGATCACAAATGATATAGTCCAGCAGATTGGTTGATTGACATAGTATTCTTGCGTTGCCTACAACCTTTACGCGTAAACATTTGGCAAAGTGTGCTCTAAAGCTAATTTTTTAGCAGGTCGCGACCAAGTTGTAGGCGTTTACAGTGCGGTTACAGTACGTCACAAGTGTAGCATTTGTTCACGCGCAAATGTTGTCGCCTATGCAGGAGCATAGTGTCCAAAATAAATTGAAAGTTTTTCAAAAATGAATCTCTTCTATGAGGAACTTTCGTGGCTATTCAGAAACTATATTGCAAAGCTGGCTTCAACCCAAATTTAGAATCACGACCGCTCTTTAATGCTGTAGGATTACGGTAGAAAATTTGAAGACACGCGCTTTTTTTTGCACTAAGGATAGGATATTACATGAATCGCCAAATGATAACCCAAATACGCATAAAAGATGAGTTTCAAGATTTTAGAAGTTAAAAGTTCAAAAATGATTTTTTGATGGAGCAAAATGAAAAAAACCAAACCTGGCATTTTTCCTCGGCGAGTTAGAGCAGCTTTCGATGTAAATCTAGTCGCTCGAAAGAAGATATAGAGTTAGCTGAAAACCTATGAAAAAGCAACTTTAGGTGACTTATTTACAAACTGAATCAAAACAATACGCGACCGAACACCCATAAAAACTAAATTACATCGGATCAGAATAGGCGTGAGGTACGATTTTTGAGAATTAATCATAATAAGAAGCAAAAGCAATGGGCTTGAGAAGCATGGCCTAGACGAACACCAAAACGTTACCATCCAAAAATTAATTAAGAGCGTCTGTCGAATTTTTTTCCCTGAATTAATGAAGATGGATGGGAGGGAGCGATTGATATCGAAGTTTGCGGACGATCTTGCGAAAAATATGCATTGGAATGAATCAAATCTGAAATCAATATTTCGAATGAATAAAATAGGAGAATTTGCTAACTAAAAATATCACCTTGTAATTCAACCACTTCAAATAAGATCCTCAAACGAGCCTTGGCACAACCTCCTGACTCAAAAAAAGCATGCGGCTGTTCTGATCGATAATAGAAAGGAGCAAATTTTGGTTCTATTAATAGAGTGAAACATCGATTTGTTGGATTCCCGAAGTTCATAATGTTTGAGCCATATATTGATGTTTTCTTCTCACTACCAAATAGCTGTATGAGCACGTAAAAATAATTTGAATAGATTGTGAATCTGGCAAGTTTCGCCGCATTATTTTTTGAAAATCATCAATTTTTATGACTTATTTTAGATTTATTTGAAAGCGGCAAAGCGCTTACAAGAGCAATTGAGCGGCTTTTTAGTAAGCATTAGGAGGAGTTTTAAGATTAAAATAACGGATTTGCAAGACTTTCGATCAGGGCTCGGCACGAGCTAGCACCAGCGAAATTTCAAAACGAACTCCCGTTTGATATTGAAAATTTCGTACGAAGTCCCTTTTGACCTGTTTTGAGAACCCGTCCTCATTTTTATATTGTGTAAAAAATGTGATAGTGTTTTCATGCATTTCTGATTTCATGAAAGAGCTTTTCACAGCTTTCTGAGCTTTTTAAGTGGTCGAATCACATCTTGAGAAGCAGAAAAAGCCGATTTTTCGACTGCGGAGCGGACCGAGTGGTTTTCAAATTGCTATAAAACGCTGAAAAGAGAACATTATGAAACTGTTTCTTCTCCGTATGTAACTTTTACAGTGTAGATACATTTTATTCAAAAAAGTATGAAAACTTATGTGAGCAAAGTGTCGGTGCCAGCTCAGCTGGCACTCAGCTGGCACGGTGCCAGCTAATTCAGAAAAAAGTTCGGCACAGCTTTCATTCACATAAGTTTTCATAAATTTTTGGCCCGTAGTTCCGGTCCACCAACGCGCATGCACACACCAAATTTGGTGTCATACTATTGCGATTTGGCTGAAAACAACGCCTTTGTTTGTTGATGGACAGGTTGCCAATGGCATGCCGGTGGCATGCCGGCGGCATTTTTGCGGCAGTTCTCCGCCTCGGCCCTGTAGAAACGATATCCCCTTTGCTTTCCGCCGTGCCAGCTGTGCTGAGCCCTGCTTTCGATTTTCTAGCTATTCGATGAATTGCGGATTAGCTGCTAAGATAATACAATTTAATCAAAATTAAGTAAACAGAGAGCCTAAAACATTCATTCTGAAATGAGATTAGTTACTCGGGAACCTAATTAACAGGTTCATACATGCGTTTTGACGCGTTTTGGATAATCTATCACTTGGAATTTGTGAAAGAACATGTTTGGGCTTGTTCAACAATACTGTGCAATAGCCTTCAAGGTCTCCTAGTCTCAAAATGGATGTTATTTATTTTTGTATAATCAACCAAAACTGGTCACAATGGATATTAACGGTTATCACTAGTCACTTCAAGGACGAATGGAGAAGCAAAACTTTGTCCTTTGCGCGAAAATTTATTATTAGTTTCAAAATTTTACCATCATCAAATTAGACAAAATCCATCTCTTCGAATAAGCCTTGCCTGAGGCCGTTATTTTCAGCGAGTTAGCAGCTGCAGGTATAATTGATTTTAGAAAGCTTCAGTTGAGATTTTTGGGGTTCAAAGGTCCCAGTATTTTCAGTATATGTAGAAAGGGCAAGAAAAGCGGTTATATATGTAGTGTTCCGAAGGGAAGCTCGAAAACACGGGATGAAAATTAAAAAAAAACTGATTAGAATTAAGTTGTCCATGCTTTTCTTATTGAAAAAAAAGTGGAAATTTGGTATCCTCATTATTTTCGAATTCTGTAATTCTAGTATCAACAGACAATTTTGGACTAAATGTAATGTCTGATTTGAAAAAAAAAACTATTTAGACTTTCAGGGATCATGGCGATTGCTTAAAAATTCATGATTGATTGCTCTTGTGACCTCACATCATTATTGTTGCGCGCATAAAATCTTTTTTGGGCAGAACATTCCAGAAAAAGCCATCAGCTGCGGTTGCCTGAATTAGTCCTGACCGGAAACAATTACGGAAATTTATAGGCGAAACTGCTCATTTAATAGTCTTGAGTATTCACTTGATGTAGCCGCAGAATTTATAAAAACAATAAAAGACAAATCAAATGAGAAGTGCTGGTCTTCTGGTTCATAAAAATTCTTTTAGATTAAAAAATTTTATGTCCCGTATCTTCTCCGCAGTGGCGTACCCAGGATTTCGGCTCGGGGGGGGGGGGGCGCGACAAAAATTTTTTTCTAAAGAAGGTGCGTGGCGTTAGCCACGCACTCCGAAAATTTTTTTGGGGTGCTTCTCAAAACTTTTGCGGGTCCCCGACCCCTAAAATCTAGAAAAACGGGGCGTGGCGTCAGCCACGCCCCCGAAAAAAATTTTTTTACAAAGCTAATTTGAATTTTTAAAAATTTTAAAAATTTATTTTAATTATTTACAAAAATAAACAAGTCACTTGCACATTTTTATAACCCACATAGGTAACTTTCAAAAATTTCGCGACCCATTCTCGGGGGGGGGGGGGGCGCGCGCCCCCCCCCCGCCCCCCCTCCTCGGTACGCCACTGCTTCTCCGATATAGAACATGTATACGCCGTTATTGCATTGCTGACAACATCTGCGCGTGAACAAAGGATTACGCGTAAATCACAAGCACTTTGACGGAATTTACATGCATGGCATTTTTTACGCGCAAATGTTGTCGTCACTGCAGAGGCACTATATTTTTTATTGTTATCAGTTTATGAATGCGAATTATAAGCTGTTTAAAAGGAAGACAATTAGTCTTGTTCTAATCCAAATTGACACAAATTCGTTTCAAGTACAAGTTAACCTAAAATCAATAATAGTCCTTATTTTCTTCTCCCGCACCACGTGATCAAGAATCCTCCAGCTCAAGCAATTCAGATGCCAATTCAAATGATGCACTGTTAATGCATTCCGACACACTTATCAGCAGACCTTCATCGATTCGTTATCGATAAAGAAATTTTTCTACCGCAACATGCACTTTGCTTTTTTCCTCCTAGCACGTGTTCATAAGAATAGCTTTTCTGAGATTTGCCCAATATCACGAAATGGGCATGCAAAGTTAGATTTGTTATGAGTGTGAGAGTGCAATAAATGGAAAAATTCTAATTTTCTCGAAGTTGCGGCGCCAAAGATATTGTTTCTTCGATGATGTGCAATTCATAACGACGAAGTGACAGCCGATACTGACAGAGGAACTTTCATAAAATTCTTGAAATTTCGAATTATCAACGGCAAAGAAAAATTTAAAAGTTCAAGTCCGGATTGGGAGGAGAGATGGGAAAAAGAAATTTTGTAAAGAAATAAGCCAAAATGTTTTTGCTTAAAAATGATTAAAATCAAGGTTTTTTTTGGGGAACAAGTGGTGCAGATTTTTTTTGTTTGATGGATTATAGCTTATTAGCTAGCTGTTTCAAGATATGATAATAAATCTTCTGAATTTCTACAGTTAATGTCAATAACGTACTCCATTTCGCATGCGAACTACGCATACGCAACTCACAGGCCCTGCGTGCGGACCTCCGATCGATAAGGCCAACTTGAATGCTCAAGCCATACGCGCGCGAACGTGACGCGAAGCACATTGTGCTTACGGAAAAGGGAGCACGCGATTTATATGGACTGTATCTCCATCTTAAGTCAATAATTTTGTTACTCAGGCTAACTTATAAAAGTAAAGCAATGCTACCTTAGTCCTTATAGGTTAAGAAAATGGACACATGTTTACAAAATGCTAACATTTATCAGTAATCTGAATCTGATGAATTTCCAAGATTACTTATTTGTCTAAAGGTAGGTAATATAAACATAAATAAGTGATATAAATATAAACGTATAAAGAGACACATGAGAAGAAGGAACATTCCCTCCCTGAAAAAGACAGAAATTTCCAATTACTCTGACACAGACACAATAAGGCATGAAGTAATTGGAACATTTATAAGACAGGTAAGGTGCAAAAAAAAATGAGATACGAAATGCAGTTATAGTAAAAGTTGAAAGTCCAGCCAGAGAGATGTTCAACTTGGATAATACAAAGTGTAAGTGTAGTAGTATCTAACCATCAAAGATAGTGCAAATTTCTTTTTATATAGAAGGTGGAACGCCAATGATCAGCTCAGCTGGTAGTCAACGAAGCCTTATCAATGGAAAAAGACAAAAAAGACATATGAAAAGCTTCTGAAATGTCCGGAAAGAAGAGAACTCTGCGAAAAAAAGAGGTTTAGATTGCTGACGTTTGATTTTTATCTCTAGCAAGGCCACTTTTTCTCCGGATAAGCTGATTTTATGGAAGATGATAACAAATGTAATCACGGACTTCTACAAAGTTTTTTCGATCTAGTCATAAGTACAGCTCCGGAGAGAGAAGCAGATTATCAATTTGGCAAAACTTATTTTATGTATTACTTTATGATCAAATAAACAAGGTGCAACAGAATATTAATTTAAAAATAATGTTAGATTTTTTGGCCAGAGCGTACAACTACAGCAGAAAACAGCATTTCAACAACTGGAAAAAGTGGATTTTTTTACATTTTTGAGAATTATTCCTCTGATCAGCGAGCTGTGCAGCGCGGATTACGGTAGCGAATCGCGAGATGGGTAGATTTTGAGTTCACTTAGGGATTCGTGAAACAACAGCATTTCCTACATGAAGTAGGGTGCGATTTTACTTGAATATAATTTATTCTACGAAATTCTAATGTTTCTAGAATCAAAGTCTAGACCTGAAAAGAAGAAAAAATGCAGACACGAAAGAAATATAAATGATGGTAACTTCCCTTTGGGACTACAAAAAATGTCATTTCTCTTAGCAAATATGATAGAGTCTTACAATTAGTCTGAAGAGCGAGAATATTACGAAACAGCTTTTTTGTCTCAAATGGCAAGAAAACAAAATCGAAAAACCAAAAAAAAATCAATAATGCTCATAGAATAAACATGAAAAATAATGATGAACGTGCATATTCGCATGAAAGAAAACTCAAAGGCCGCAGCTACAGAAATGATATCTTCTTCTATCATTGATTTACGCAATTTTATTACAACTGTTACGGAACACCGTCTCGTAATCATCTAGCATTTGACCCTTCCGAGACCGGTCAGAAAACTTTG